GGATGGAAGAGTAATTCAGGGTGGCTCCTGACTTCCACCTGGGGCTTCCACATATAAATGTGCCCCTCCCCTCCCCCACCCCCTCACCCCCACTACACACAAAAAAGTAAAAGTACTTTTAACTGCAGAAGTAGTGGGATTTTTCCCCCATCTTGTATAAATAATAAGACATCTCCAACAACTTGAGGATATAAGCATCTGTAACAAACAAGAGTGCCCAACATGTGGAGATCTTTCTGCTTCACCGCTATCCAACCACAGCCATCACCCTAGGTTCCTGGGGCTTCCGGCTTCCTATGGAAAATCTCTCTCTGTCTCTCTGTCTCTCTGTCTCTCTGTCTCTCTGTCTCTGTCTCTCTGTCTCTGTCTCTCTCTCTCTCTCTCTCTCTCTCTCTCTCTCTCTCTCTCTCTCCCCTTTCTACTGTTATCCCTCCCTCTCAGATAGATAGATAGATAGATAGATAGATAGATAGATAGATAAATAGATAGTCATGTGTGTAGGGGAGTAGTGATAGTGTTCTGTTTTTGTTTTTCTTGCCCTGTTTGCTAGTTTGCTAGGAAGAATTTGAATGCCAGCACAGACTATGCAATGAGAATGACTATAAAACCAATTTTCATGGCATTACCTGCTTGCTTTAGGATAGGTTTTTCCATTTAGATGAAGATTTTTGTGGGTTTAACATGTTTAGTTACAGAATAGAAAACAAAAGTATCAAAATGAATGTCTGTTATTTAATGCAACTGTCATTGAGAATCTAATTATCAGGTATATTTTTTATGTAAGTTATTTATCTTTTTTATTTTGAGTGGCTGTCTTACTCATCCTTACTTCCATTTTTGGAGCTACCAGAGACTGGCTGTTGATCAAAACTTGGGCTTTAATGTCAGGGCTTACAATCTGCTGTAATTGCTAAGTATTATATATAATACAGCTTCACAAAGGAAAATTTCTTTATCATGCACTCTAGAAACTGAAACTGGGTTGTAACCAAAACATGGATAGGTCAGTGGCTTCTTAAATGTCTTGTTTATAAGGAAATACCAACCAGGCTCTAAATCAGTTTTTAAGTAATATTTTGATATACTTGAATTAGTAATGTGAACACAACCATACTTTCTATTTTATATTCTTCAAGCAACATTTTAGTGGGATGGAAAAACACTAGCTTATCTCCGAAGCATTATAAACTTGTCTAAATACCCTTTTCAAAGCTCTGACATGGAACTTGTATCCTGGTAGGCAGGCTTTTGTGTGGGCGTGCTTCCATTCCACCTGTCCATGTGTCTATAGGTACAGTCTTTAACCACACCCTCTGGCCTCTTACTGAGGGGACACTGACTGAGACCTTTGGCTCAGCATGGTGTTTATTTGAATAGCTCAGTTCAGAGGAGATTTTCCTTGTGAATTGTGAGGCTTGAATAGCAAGAGAAATTCAGCACCACTTCTCAGAAGTGCTACCATGGAGATTTGCAAGCCGACCTTGACTGCCAAGATCTACTTGGAAGGTCTACTTAACCTTAGACACATTGGATACTGAGCACAGTTCTATTGCTTGGCTAATTAGATCTTTATGATTTTATTCTTTCATTTGTCAATGATTTAATTATTTTCATTGGAACTATTTATGTTGTATTTATTATTGGGTTTGTTTCTGTTTTGGTTTTTGACTTGATGGACTTTTGTAGGGGTTGTGTTTTGTTTTGTTATGTAAGTTGAACTGTGTATGAGCTTTTTGTTGTTCAATTTATATGAATTTACTTTTGAATACTAAAAAGAAAATTTTATAGTAGTATAGAATGTCTTAATAAATTAAAAGGAACTTTGTAATGTAGTAAAAATGAAATAAAATAAACTGATGGAATAGAAGAAGCTAGGCAGCCTTATCTAGAATGGATTCTTATAGGACCTATTTGGCTACTGTCCAGCTCAGTGGCCCTTGGTTGGAAGAACAGGAAGGAGACATTTATGAAGTTGAATCTCATGTGCCTTTGCCATATCCTTATCCTCCATCTGAACATTTGGATGAAAATAACTCAATAATTGTCAATATTTCCATTTGTCATTTTATTCACAAAAGAGATGGACACGTCTTAAAACTTCTTTCTAAAATTTCACTACCTACCCCTCCTTATTCAGTAAGTATATATACAATAGTACTTTAGAAATGTAGTAAACTGTAATGAGTAGAAAATCTCTGTGGGGGTTGAATGGAACAGACTCTTGCTTTGCTATAGGTGCTTGTACTGCTCACACACCTGAGGTGGGCAGAAGTGCTAAACTTTTGTTCAATGAACCCCAGCTTCACTGCTTTTCACTTCAGATAGTACAATGAGCTAAATAGTAGATTTCGTCAGTACCAGTCAAGCTATTGAGAAAGATCCTTCCTGTCCTTAAGATTGGGTGTGTCTGTCTGTAATGCTGATCCAAACGTAAAAGAAAAAAAATGGAATAAATGTGTTTGAGAGAATGGCTATTATGCTGCCTAAGACTGCCTAGTGAATGGCTGTGCCTATTGTGGCTTGTTTACAGTCTTATGTCTTATTGGCTGTAGCTTGTATTCTGAATTTTTTAGCAACCCAAGAGACTTGTTTCTGTTTTGGTAAGCTTATTAAGTCTATAAAGAAATAGACTTCAGCTTTTACATGAAATATATTTTGTAAACAGAGTTAAGGTTAAATGCTCGCTGTAAAAATTCCTGCATGTTCAGGATTTCTGGTTCATAGGATCTTTATATATTTTGTGAATGTCCTTTACAGGCGGTTCAGCATTTTTTTTTCAATGACTTGCATGGCTTTAGCTGTAAATCTTAGCTAATATTTAACATGCCATATGGTTTTCAGAATAGTTTTGCTACCTCACCAACAATTTTTAAAGTGACAGAATATTTACTAATGCTTTACCCATAGTGTAATGTGTTTGCTGAAAAGTGAAAGCTCTGAATTTTATTTTACTGTTTTGTAGATTTCATGTTGTTGCACATAGTAGGAATCGGTCATGTCCTACTTGGGTGGGAGAAATTCAAGTGTACATTATTTAGGTAAAAATTTGAAGAGCATCTTTTATCCCAGTCAAGTGTGAAGCCAGTGTGCTATCCTAATTTGTTTCGTAGCTTTATTCAGTTTTATTGCTTCAACTTTTTTGTTTTGCTTTTCTTGTTCTTATTGTAAACTTTTAAGTGTACAGTCATGCTAACCAGCTTAAATTTTGTGAAATGACAGATAAAATTAAGGATTTGGCAATTTACTCACATAAAGCAGGATTTTATTTTATTTAAATTCTTTTTTGAATTTCTGTTGTAAATTTGAAATATGGAAAGAAATGAACCTGTGTTGGTTACAACTCTGAACTCTTAGAGAGTTCACACATTTCATAGGTATCAATTAAGTAATTTACTGGAGAGATTTACATGTGCACATGCAGAAGTGATTGGTACTTTTGGAAATAGCTGTTGCAATTCAATTAAAAAGGGATTTGTGTACAGATGAGTTCATACTTTCTGGCCATGTTTCTTTGCAATCTCCAGAAATGTGTATTTTACATTTAAAAAGAATAAACCTTTTCCCAATTAAAGGTGTTTATATAAAGCTTTATTCTTCTGTGGTGATATATTTTCCATTTCATATGAATTCTTACTGAAATGATGTTTTAAGTAGTATTTTAAACCTCCTATTAAAACAAGAATAGTTGCATGTGGATATTTTGGACATTTATTTAGATCAGAGTTTCAATAACTTTATGGTTAGGGGTCACTGCAACATGAGGGACTATATGACAGGGTAGCAGCATTAGAAAGATTGAGAACCACTGATTTAGAGTGACCTTAAGTTTTAGTGACACTACAGTCTGTGTTTTACTGTAAATATTACTCAGATGTGAAGCACAGAAGTAATATTAAATATTATATATATTAACCATTGTATCAATCTATAATTAATTATATAAAATACATTTAATTATATTAATATATTGTTGGTTTATAATTGTATTTTTATATTTAGAATTATATAGTGATATCTTAATATTAATGTGTTTTATGAGACATTACTTATATTTAAGCTAGAAATCATTTACTATTTTAAATTTAAAACTGAAAACTTGGTAGTTATTATCTTGGAGATTCACAAAGTACATACTTACAGATTCCCAAGACTTGCTGTGACCCTTTTGCAGATATATACAGCTACTTGTTTTTGGAAGCTTCACATTCATACTGACTGAGTCAGGTAACAAGGAAGGCCCTTTAGGGGCCCAGATGACACAAGCAGGGACAATACCTTTCTTCGATTTCACACAGCTGAAACAGGACCCATTTACCTCCTGCTTCCAGTCTGGGCCTCCAGTCTGTTTTGCCATCTTTGCCATCCAGGAATGTGTGTGCTGATAGCATTTGAAGGGTACTGGATTTTTAATTTTTCTGTAGCCTATGGTTTTTCAATAAGTGGAATATCTTCAGAAGCTTTACAGTTATTTTATTATTATTATTTTGGCAAATTCTTTCAGAAGTACAAAGCTTTTATTTAGTAAGCATATATGTTACAGTTTCATTTGTGGCACCCCTGTGATTTTATTTTTCATGACATCTATTAGTCAGTGCAAAAGGAGTTAACAGTCAGGATGTTCAAGGTTTGTCCTGAAACACATAGTTCTCTGGAAGTCTATGGCAAATACAGAGAGCTTTGCTTCACTAGCTCTGCACCTCAATTGTATGATAGAATGTATGTCCACTGACTTTACACATTCTGTAGCCTAACAAAACTGTCACACATATATATATATATATATATATATATATATATATATATATATATCTGACAGAAAGTGTGTATCTGGTATGACTTATCCTACCTGCTGTTAACTTGTGCTGCAAGTATTTGTCTATAATTTAATAAGATGTCTTTATTTTAGATCTTTTAGTTGATTTTTTTTGATTGTTTATGAAAAATGACACTGATTTTCCAACAATTACCTTCCTGTGTGTTCTCTTGCCTTCCTGGTTTAGCTTGAGCATGCAAAAGCTACACAAACAGAATTGATACATGAGTCATTTAGACAAAAACAAGAGGCAACAGAGTCACTTAGGTGCCTAGAAGAACTGAATGAGCGTCTCCAAGAAGAGTCCAGGACCAGAGAGCAGCTAGCTGTTGAACTCAATAAAGCTGAAAGTAAGTGCCTTGCCTTTGGTCACTGAGATAGGAGAGGTTTCAGTCTTGCAATAGAGACTTTGATGTATAGCCAGGTTTGTAAACCCCCCAGTCTAATTTAAAGTGACCATTGAAAAATAGTTATAGTTTGTCCTCTGAGTTTCCAAAAGCAGTTAAAAACTTGAAGAATGCACACACAAACACACATGCACGTTATAAAAGGAATTTATAGAATTAGATGTAACATTTAAAAATTTAGATGACTCAAAAGTAGATCGTGATGAGACTGAGGTAGTTTCTTCAAAAAGAGCAATATATGACTAAATATGGTATAAGGTCATAATTAAATGTTATTGCAGGCTTTAACCTCTAAAACCCTCTTCTATTCTCTCAGGATGATGAGGGTGCTTGCCTGCTAGAATTGCTTACAGTATCAACTTTCTCTAGTATATTTAAATTCACAAGCATTTGATGTATTTTAGGCTCCTATCTATTTCCCATGTGTTTAATAAACTGAATTACATATGTGTGTTGGGGATTTTAGCAAAGTACTAGACAGTTTAGGGAGATTTCATGTTCATGTACAGTAAACAAGAAAACTTACTGCAACATGACAGTAAAGCTCAGCAGCAGGCTTTTAATAGGACAAAGTGATTGAAAGTTTTGCTACTAGGATGGTTTTATTGTTAATATTAGTATCTGATGGTAAGTTTGGCCCAGATGTACATGTCTGTTATCTCAACACTTAGAAGACTGAGGCAGGAGCATAGAAATGTTGAAGGCTAGCTTAAGGTATACTAGTGAGATGTCTCACACAACAAAGCCTAATGGTTTATTTAAATTAGAAGCAATTCCATTCTCCTACATTGTGTCTTACAGGTATTATTGATGGGTATTCGGATGAAAAAATTATTTTTGAAAGAGAAATTCAGGAAAAATCCTACATAATAGATCATCTAGAGCAGGAGTTGGTACGCGTGAGCAGTAGACTTCAGGAACTAGAGGAAGAGCAGCAGCAGGTGCAGGAGGAGCGGGAGCTGCTGTCCAGGCAAAAGGAGGCGATGAGAGCAGTTGCTGGCCCCGTGGAGCAGCGTACGTACTGAGACTGTGTCATATAGTTCTTCTCCTGGTTTTTTTATTCTTCAGACTCTCATGTGACAGACTATCCTTTTCTGTGCCATTATTTGTATGTTTTATAACAAACTTGGAAAAACATAAGGAAATACACTTTAAAGGCAAATGAATTCTTAGCCATTTTTATGGAATCCTATTTTCTATTCTGCCTTTTAAGGCTTTTAACCATTACCAGTAAAGGGAAGTATTTATTTATGCACAAATGAGTGCATCAAAAAGAAAAAAGCTAAAATTAAGGAGGCAGCATGTTGTGGGAAGAGGTAAAACAGAGTTCTTTTAGTGGGAGAGAGGTCATGAGAATGTGATGAACCCTGATCTGCTGCTGGTCATGAGCAGGTGTAGGCAGTGTGGGCTTGCAAGCCAGAGAGACCCAGAAGACATCTGACATCTCGTTTAGAAGGATTCAAAGATCATTTAACTTCATAATGGCTAATTTTTACATCTTGATTTTAAAGCTTGTTGAGTGACAAATATCTGTCTTGGTGACTATGAACTTTAAATCCTGCTTATCGAACCTTCTTTGATTTTAAATGCACAGTTGGGATCTATAAATATGGAGTTTCTCTAGTTTGATCAACTTAGAAATAAAACCTCCATTTTCTCCCTGAGGCTGGGGGGTGTTCAGATTAGATTGGTACAGGTTTAGGGCTGGAATTGAAGGTTTCAAGGTCTCATGTCATAGATAGAAAATGTGCAAGAGACATGGAACTGTGGGTAAGAGTGACAAGAGATTTCTACCGTGTGCAGGTCTGCATTGTCGTTTTTCGGGAGCAGGAGACATAACTGTAGTTTTGTCTTTACTCTCCTAGGGCCAGTGCATGCTGCAGTTGATGCAGCCCCTGGAGCAGGTGTGTGCACAGTTGCATGCACTGTTGTTGGGTGGTAGACTCACAACTCAAAGTTTGGGTGACCCTTGATTTCCAACTAACATTTCTAATTTATAGTTCTCTGTTGTGTTTCTTTCATTTTCTTTTAACAGAACATAGCTTAATTTACAATAAGAATATGTTTTGATTTGCTATTAACACCTGAGGTTCATAGTTACCATTATCTTATTTCATCTGCTTTTGCACAGAGCCTCAAACCATTGGGGTTTTTCAAAAGAAAACATTGAGTATCTTTAAGAAACAAAGTATTTTTGTTTCTAAAAATTCATTATTATTATTTTTATTTCTTTTTTCTTTTTAAAACAATCTTATTTACATGCCAATCCCAGTTCCCTCCCAGTTCCCTCTACTGCCCATCCTCCCTACCTCATCACCATCTACCCCCAACACCACCCACATCTACTGCTCAGGGAGAGTGAGGCCTCCCATGGGGTATCATCAAAGCCTGTCACATCATTTGGGGCAAGGCCAGGGCCCTGTCCCCTGTATCTCAGCCGAACAAGGTATCCATCTATAGGGAATGGGCTCCAAAAGCCAGTTTATGCTCTAGGGATAATTACTGATTTCACTGCCAGTGGCCCCATAGATTGCCCACATTCAGGAAGCCTGGTTGGTCTTATACAGGTTCCCCAGCTGTCAGTCTGGAGTCAGCTCCTACTCGCTCGGACCAGCTGTTTCTGTGGGTTTCCCCAACATGGTCTTGACCCCTTTGCTCATATAATGGCTCCTCCCTCTCTACAGCTGGACTCCAAGGGTTCGGCTCAGTGCTTAGCTGTGGATCTTTGTATCTACTTCCATCAGTTACTGGATGAAGGCCCTATCATGCCAATGAAGGTAGTCATCTATCTGATTATAGGGGAAGGGCAGTTAAGGTAGCCTCTCCACTATTGCTTAGATTCTTCATTGGGGTCATCCTTGTGGATTCTTGGGAATGTCCCTAGTGCCAGGTTTCTCGATGCCTCATAATGGTTTCTCGATGCCTCATAATGGCTCCCTCTATCAGTTTCTCTTTTCTTGCTCTCCCTCTCTGTCCTTCCCCTGCTGGAGCAAAGGCTTATCTGTTAAAGGCTAAGCTCACAACCGAAAGGAAACAAACTATTTTTGTGTTTGATTGCATTAAGCTCACTCGTCTCTGATGTTTTTCAGAGTTTTCCTTGCAAAAGAGAAAAGTGGGTAAGCTCATGGTATCAAATGGATCAATTTATTTACTAAGAGGCTTTTTGGCTGATTTGTTTTGATATTAACGTATACTAATGGCATTATTTTAGAAAAGATATTTTCTATAGATCCCAGATCTGAATACAGTGTTGGCACATCAATTAGTATAAAAATTCTACAAGGTTCTTTTCTCCTTTTCTTTTTGCTGTCTATACTTTAGCATCTACATTAACCACAGCTAATCCTCAAAGGTCCTTTCTATACCCCAGATATTAATTTTTATACGCAATAGTTCATTTTATCCCCAACTGCTCACATAACAAAGCTGAAGACCATCTTATCAAATGTCACCCAGGAGAAAAGTAGTAGAAGTAGGAAATGAATCTTCCCTTCATGCACTAACTACATAGATTCCCATATATGCTTGTGTTCCCTTGTTGCACTAACATGTAAATATGAAAAGGTAGTTCAGGGATATTGATCTAAGGTAATAAAGCAGAAGACTAATCGGAATTCCTGACTGACATCTCCTTCCTCTTTCTGTTCCCCTTTTCTTGGTTAATGTTTTAACAGTATTTGCTTACTGTACCATTGTGTATGCACATACAGGTGACTTTTGGCTTTGGAATGTATTTAGTTTTGCATATGGTCAAAAATGTGGTTAGTGTTTTATGTTTTAATTCTATTGAACTTTGTTCTCTTCCCAATCATAAGAATATATTATTCTGTATTTACTACATTGTTCTCACAAGGATACATTTTATAATAGGAATTCTTATTTATCTTAATTCTATGTAATAGTAGTTTGCTATCCTTTATAGGGATAAAATAGGTTGATATTTCCAGAAGAAAGTATTTACTTTTTAATGTATTTAAAGTAATTTGCAGCCTTTATTTCATTAAGATAAAGTTTTAAAATATTAGTCCATTACTTCATTATAATAACATTATGAATCATAATTTAACCAAGTATATTCTCACATTTGTAAACAGAATTTCTTCATGAGACAGAAAAATTAATGAAGGAAAAGCTGGAAATTCAGTGCCAAGCTGAAAAAGTACATAACAAACTTCAGAAGCAACTGAAAATTTTAGAAGTAGATGTTGAAGTAAAAACCAGTAAGTTAATAGAAATGGAGCAAGAGAGAAATGCTGAGCTCATAGATCTAAGACAGCAAAACCAAGTACTGGAAAAACAAATGGAAAAACTTAAAAGATTTATTGATGTAAGTAACTTCAGTTTGAGCTCCATTTTGGAACCACATCTTGGTTGTTTGGATGGACAGATATTTGGGTGGACAGACAGATGGGACAGGTAGATAACTGGGTAGTTGGGTGCTTAGGGTGGGTGGCTGGTGACCACTAAGGCTGACACCATCCATGCTTACTTAAAATTCAGGAGTCTTTGCGTCGAGTTCCTAGTAACAAAGCAAATAAGTGTTAATGCATAAGTATTGTAAAAGACAAATTAAAAGTACACATTGTTTGTGAATAACCTTGAGCAGCTCGGTTTTCCAAATTCAAAGTTAAGCTTTTTCTGGCTTTGCTTTTTACTAGTAACCAAAACAGTAAGAGTTAAAACTGATTCCTGCACAGCAGGTAAGCCCAGCTCCCCGTGTTACACATAGCACTGGGACTAGCACAGCTCTCATGCTGCCATGATTCTCACCCAAAATGTCATTGGTTTGAACTTTTCACACAGAACATCTTTAGGGTTTTAGAAGCTAAGTGTAGGTCCATATTTCTGTCCTGCCAAGCAGGTCCCAAATAACCACACACAGACTTATTATTAGTTACCAATACTCAGCCCTACATGGGCTTGTTACTAACTAACTCTTGAAACTTTAATTAACCCATATTTCTACCCTGTGTTCTACCACATTGCTCAGTACCTTTCCTCACTGTGGCATGCTCATCTTGCTTCTCTCCGCATCTGTGGGTGACTCTGCCCTACTTTGTCCCAGAGAGCTCGCTCTCCTGTCCTCAATTTGTGCTCCACCTCTTCCTGCCTAGCTACTGTCCTTTTGGGTCTTTGTTAAACCAATGAGAGCAACACATCTTCATTGTGTACAAAAAGATTATTCCACAACAGCCAGTGATCTTCACTTGTCAGAGAATCAGTAGAATTGGTTTTGTATTTTTAGGTGTAAGTCTAGAATAGCATTAAACAAACTAATTTATATTTCTTAACTGTTCTAACACTGAATTAGCCATAGATTCCTCTTTTGTACAATTTCATCCTGTTCCTATGCTGCATTTGGCATTATTTGAATAAAAAGGATAGTATTGTTGATGATTTTAAATACTCTAGTTTTTGTTTGAAGAGCCCAAATAGGCAATGTACTATAACCCATCTAAGTGTGTTTTCTTCTTAAACCCTTGTGGTTTTAGGTATTCTGTATCAGCACATAATCTTTAAACCTCTAGCTAAAGGGAAATAAGAAATATGGGACCATAAATATCATTTAAATAAATAATAGTGTCATAATTAAGTAAATATTTGATGTTTGTTTTTTAGACAGTCTCACCATGAAGCGCTGCTTAGTGTAGAACTCGTTAGATTAGACTGATGTCAAACTCACAAAATTTGCCCGCCTCTGCCTCCCGATCACTGAGATTAAAGGGGTGCACCACTATTTCCTACTCAGTGTCAACATTGTCATCATTGACATTGCTGTTGTCATTATCCAATTTCAGGAACAGGCAGTTGATAGGGAGCATGAGAGAGATGCTTTCCAATTGGAAATAGAGAAGCTGGAACAGCAGCTTAAGGTTGTACCTCGACTCCAGCCTGTCAGTGAGCAGCAAACCAGAGAGGTAAGAACTCAGTAATAGCATGCCCTCCCTTGTACTTATTTCTCTCTTGAGAGTAAAAGAAGGTATCTTGAAAAACTCAAAAGTGGATTCTTTATATTGTATATCATTGTCAAAAAATTTTTTAAAAGGTATTATATAAATGTAAGGTGCCTGTTAACTATAAAAATGTAGTGTATTGGGCTGAGAGTATGTCTCAGAGTGTTGAACTACCATGTTTGAAGCCCTTTGTTCAAAACCCAGTACTGGCGTGAGGTGGAGGAAGAAGTTTGAAATTTGAAATTACTCCCCTCCATGTATTACTCAATTAAGTAAACTTCTGTGTTCATTTCTCTATTCTCATTCCTGATAAAAGTGATTTGAAGTTTTTTTCTGTCTAGCAAGATGATTCAGTGGGTATACTGGCTAATTTTATATCAACTTGACCACAGCTAGTGTTATTTTAATAGGAGGGAACCTCGGTTGAGAAAATGTGTCCATAAGATCTGGCTGTAAGTCATTTTCTTATGATTGATAGAGGAAAGCCCAGCCCATTGTGGGTGGGGCCCATCCTGCGTTCTATAAGAAAGCAGGCTAAACAAGCCTTGGGAAGGAAGCCATTAAACAGCTCCCCTTCATGGCCTATGCATCAACTCCTGCTTCCAGGTTCCTGCCCTGTTTGAGTTCCTGTACTGATAAGACTGTAATGTGGAAGTATAAGCCACCATCCCCCCACTACCACCCACCCCAGCCCCACTTGTTTTGGTCATGGTATTTCATCACAGCATCAGTCATCATAAGACAGTTGGTAAAGGCTCTTGCGGCCAAGGCAAATAAGCTGTTCTTGGGAAGTTGAAGTAGAGAACTGACTCCTGCAACTGGATCTCTGATTTCACTAAGTGTGCTGTGACACACACATAAAGGATGGCTGAATACAATAAAAGGCCTTTTGTACTCACTCTTTGCCATTTAATCTCCCATTCTCTTTTGAATCTGCTCCAGGGAGGTGTAGGGAGACACCCTAGCCCCACCCCAGGCAACCAGGACAGGTGTGCCGGGACACGCCCCTGAGGGTGGGGTGAGGGGAAGTCTGAGGTGACATAAAGGAGGTTCTTAAAGGGCTGCACGTGGGGACCCCTTCCCTTCTCTCTGGCCTCCCTGCCTTGCTTGGTGGTGGTGTATCTGAATAAAGAAAACCTATACCCTATTGGTTGCTGGACGATCTCTAACAGGGAGGCCTTTAGTTCCTTTGTCTTTGGGTTTTCACCCTCTGCTCCATTTAAAGTGTTGCTGGGAAGATTACCCATTCCCTCTTGAGTTTTATCCTCTGTTCCATTTATAGCATTCCTGTAAAGGTTACGCTAGCATTTCTTGGCTCTCTAGAAATCACTCCTTCCTTTACTTACTCAGCTACACAGAGGCATTCCCTACAGTCTTCTTGAAGGATCTGCAATACACTTGCTCCCTTAGTCTTCTCTGTCATGTGTTTCTCTTCACATGCCACAGTTAGTGATGGAGCACCCCACGACAGAGGCTTAAGTCCCCTTTTCTTTTATGCTTTTATTTTCTTCCCAGCAGTCAAACATACAGCAGTGGCCACGGCTGTGCCCTCACTTCTGACATCTCTTTTGAGCTCCACACTTACTTAACTACTGTTTCCTTTCATTTACCTCAAAAACAATGTAGCCATAGAACAACTTGCCTTTCCCAGAAAATATAAAATACTCCTCTTCATCTCAGTAAGTTTCATATCTTTTACACATTCTCCATTGCTAAAACCTATATTCTTCAAATGTTCTTTTTCTCAGTCAGGTCACTATCCTGTTGGTAGGTCAAATTTGTACTATGTCTGTTTTTTTGTTCATTTTCATACATCCTATTTGTCATGATTATTTGTCTAGATAGCTGTGGTAGCATCCTAACCAACCCGTCCACTACTTTACTTTTTCTCTACTTTCTTCTCGTGTGTGTGTGTGTGTGTGTGTGTGTGTGTGTGTGTGTGTCTGTGTGTGTGTGTCTGTGTGTCTGTGTGTCTGTGTGTCTGTGTGTCTGTGTGTGTGTGTCTGTGGGCATGTATGTGTTCATGATAGGGGAATGCTGCCACCGTACACATGTGGGATCTCTTCTTGCATTCCAGGATGGAAGTTAGGTCAGTAGGCTTGCACCTGCTGATCCTTCTCACCAACCCTTTCACTTCCACTGTTCCTCTTCCATGTTCAGAAATGTAGCCAGAGCTCTGCTGACTGAATGAGTGCTATGTGAGTGTGGGAAGGCCCCCTATATTGACATAAAGATGGCTTGTCCTGTTAATAGCAAGATTGTACTTGAGGTAAATCAAGCTTTGTTGGAATCATTGCTCATTGAGTACTGGATATGTGACAATGATCAAGTTGTTTAGCCTCCTGAAAAGGTTACATTTTATAGGAGTATTGGCATGGCTTTAGTAGACACTTAGATTTGAGCATGGTGTTAGTATTTCTGGAAATAATTTAATTTTAAAAATTATAATTTCCATGCAGTTGACTTGGTTTCATTTACTTCCCAAGATGTCTAAGGAAATAAACATTAAATACTATGTCTTCTAGAGCACTAGAAAAGGAATATCCACTGTTTGTAGTCATTGCCTCTTATGCCTCTAAATGTATTTTTAGCTTTTGAACAAGTCAAAACTCCAAAGAAGTTTAAACTATAGAACTTAGTGCAGTTATTCTCAACCTTCCTAATGCTGGGATCCTTTAATATAGTTTTTCATGTTGGTGACCCCCAACCATAAAGTTGTTTCATTGCTATTTCATAACTGGAATTTTGCTGCTGTTGTGAATTGTAAGGTAAATGTGTGATATGCATCCCCTGTGGAAGGATCATTCAACCACCAAAGTGGATGGAACCCACAGGTTGAGAACCACAGGCCTAAATGGTCATTTCCTGTGACATAAGTTGCCTTAGCCTGATAAAATTGGTCGTGTCATTATGGAACTTGAGCCATCTGCCAAAGGTGTGCATACCTTCATTTGCTGCCTCCCTAGCTCTCTGATTTTCCTATGATCAGGAATCTGCCTGTAAATGTGTTGTATCATTTCATGACACCTGCTGTGTTGTCTGCCTTCCTGACTTTACTTAGTCCGCCTGTCCTTGCTACTCTTTCCTCAGAAGCTTTATTACTGCCATCTAAGAGCTTAGAGTTAGATTAAGTTTGTTTTTTTTTTTATGTTCTGAGAACAATGTTTGTTATTTTCATAATTTCTTGAAGATGTCTCACTGAAACGTAGTATTCCTCTATTGATTAGAATTACAATTTTTAGTCCTTTGTCCTTGATGAGTATGTCTATAAACTGTCTTATTAATCCTTTGTATATTCTTCCATTGCTATTATGCAACATTGAGGCTCTGTATATCAGCCCTAGAAGACAAATCTCAGAATACTTACTGTTTATTTTGGGCAGAGTAGAAGCATTTAAAGGAATTCCAATTCCTTCATATACTGCTCCTCATCTCTTCTAGCCCATAGAGTGTACAGTCTAACCTTTGCTAAATAACTGTTACAAAATGTAACACATGGAGAACTTAAAGGACATTGTTCTTCACCTAAGAGCTAGTCAAGAAAGCAAGCTGAAAGTCTGTTACCTTTATTACATCATTAGGCTATAGTGTGCTGTGGCTTTAAATAATTCTCATTATTCAAAATGTATTTTCCTTCTTTCTGCCAAGATAAAGCCAGGATGCTCTTAAGATAAACAATTTTTTAGATAACTTCTGTGAAAGCAGTAGTATTTCTTTTTTTACTAGTGTGTCCACTTTCATCAGTATGCAAAATTGTCACTTTTGCTAGAGATGGCCATTGTGATCCTTATTTTAAAATAAGATGAACATATTTTAAAATACCTTCTTTTGTTTTTGGTTCGGAGAATATGGAGGATCAAACCTCAAGGATTTGCATATATTAGGCAAGCAACACTCTACTAGTTGAGATACCTTTTCAAGCCCCAGAGAGCAGCTTTTAAGATATAAAGTGATTCATAATTATGAGTGCCCTACATCTGAAATTTTTCATTACATTTTCAGGTCGAACAGTTAACTGGTCATCTTAAAGAGAAAACAGACAAATGCAGTGAGCTGCTGTTGTGTAAAGAGCAGCTGCAGAGAGATGTGCAGGAGCGGAACGACGAGATAGAGAAGCTGGAGTGCCGAATACGAGCACTGGAACAAGCCCTGATTGCTAATACTGACTCCTTCCCAAAGGTGGGAGGACAAAGTGAACTCCATGGTGTCTTGTTCTAGTGACAGCCACTCTTAGTTACACAAGCCAGTTCTTTTAAGTAAAAGATACGTTACCTTGTAGACATTAGGATAGTGCGTCATTATAACTATTTTTGTTTATTTTCCTTCCAGATGTTGTTTGCATCCCTTCTTTCCTGTAGAGGAAGATTAGTAAGCCAGAAGAGTTAACTACAATATTAACTGTCACTTATGACTATGAGCTAAATTTTAGACTCTTGCCTGGCTCCAAAATAAGATGTAATGAAGTCCATTCCCATTATTCTACAGGAAACCAGCATGAATAGAAGAGTAGAATGAGAAAGCTGGAGGCAGACTGATGGGAAAAGACTTTTGATTTATCTGAGAAATCAGTTTTACATGTCAGCAATTTGTTTTTTATATGAAAAATGCATTCGAGACTGAATACCTGTACCTTTTTGAATATTCTCCAATGTAGCATTTCCTCCTTTTAAATTGAAGAAATAGAATTACTACTAAATAAGTAAAAATATTGCAATGAGTAATCAGTGTAATGTCTGAAGTTTTGAGAAAGTTCTTATGTATTTTTTAGATAAATGACCAGAAGCAGTCTGGAGGTATAGAGGCTAAATCTGAACTGTCTCTGGAAATTCAATTGCAGGCTGAGCGGGATGCTATAGAACGAAAAGAAAAAGAGGTAAGGAGTTTCTTTTTAAATGACAAATGTGTTTTGAATTATTTCACATTAATTACATCAAAAATAACATGTGAACACAATGGCATTATTGTCTGAAAACGAAGTTCAGTGTTTCTTAAGTTCACTGCCTTGAAAACTAACCTTGGAGATAATAAATTGAACAGATAAGCTGATAAAAGGCAGTGTTCATGGAAAGAGGATGAAAAAGGAACCAGTATAGATGGTGTGGACTGAGGGAAGAGGAGAATAGAGAGCTGGTAGTGTGAACCATGGTAAGCTCAAACCTCTCTCTTCTGCTGCCTGTAATATGGGTACTAAGTCCCTGCCACCCTGCTGAGTGTCTTCATCAGCTTGTGTTGTTTTATTATTATCATCATTTAAAATATTTCCTGGAGAAATTATTGCACTATTTCTTAAGTATGGGATTGAAAGAATGGGCTGAAGGTAAACTATCTGCAACTGAGCATGTAGCCTGTTCTTAGAGAGCACTTGCCCAGATTGTGCAAGCACCTAGGATTTCCCAGCGTACAAATAATAACAATAACAGCAACAGGAAGGATAACAGTCCTCCTATTTCTCTGTACCCCCTTATTTGAAGATAATCTCATCCAGGGGAGGAATGGTGGTATCTCCCAGTTGTTCAAGAGGCTGAGGTGGGTGGAAGGGTAGGGGCCAAGAGTTCTCAGTCAGATTGAGCAACATAGCAAGACCCTATCTTAAAAGAGAAAATTCATTATAATTACAAAAGTAAATTGGGCTTCCTACTTCATGTGTAATATATTTAAGCCCCTTTCTTCTGGAATACATCTTAATGATGTAGATAATGACTCTTATTAAAAGTATTTGTGCCGCCATGGTGGGCTTCTTCACTTGGATTCAGTAGAACTCATGCTTGTGCACCAAGTGCTTTACCAGCTGAGCTATTCTCCAGCCTGAATATTGTTCAAATTATAGTTTTTTTTCTCAGTGCAATTTCTCAGGACATTAGTATATTTCCAAACATTTGTTGTGTTCCAATAGTATAGTAGTATCAACACAAGCTTTAAAGGATACAGAAATAATTTAGACATCAGCTGAAGTGATGTTCAGAGAACTCAGAGAGAAAATGGCATCTGTGCAAATGCTTGTAGTGGAAAGGATCCTTTCTAGGACAGGAAGTATTTTTCTTACTGGAACCTAATACAAATAATTATCTGGAAAGTTCTTGTTTATTTTTGGTTTTGATATTTCGTGAAAGCAAAGAACATGCCTTTTATGTGTAATCACTTCTCTTATTACAAGAACTGATGGGGAAGGATTGATCTTGCATTAATTAGAAAGGTTAGTGAAGTTGTGTAGTGGTGGAGGATTAGTCTGGAGTATACAGGACATTGGTTTGGTTTCTGGCACCACAGAAAACCAAATGTCCACCTGGCTTTTGTATGAATGATATGGTCTGAACCTCAGTCTTGCTCTTTCACAGAAAGCACTGTCCTTTTTGTTTAGATGGTGCCTTACTGTGTTGCCTATGCTGAGCCCAAACTCTGCACCTTAGGGGACCTTCCTTATTCTGCCTATACACTTATGGGACTCCAGGCATGTGCCATCTATTTTTAGTAATTTTTAATATACTATAGCTTTACTACTACCTTAATTTCTTGAATTCAGTATTTAATAGATGTCTACTTTTCTCTCCAAATCAATAGTCATCTGGGACTGCTGAAAACCATAGAGAGCATATGTGAACCAGCTCCATTCTCTCCAGATAAGTGCAGAGAGCCACTGCCTTTTAATGAGTGACAAACTGACAGTGTTTACTAACAGTGGCAAGCATTTGGCAGTACCATTCATTGACCTGCAAAAGGAAAACCTCAAAGCACATATTATGAGTAGAGAAGTTTGAGGATTTGCTGTGAAAACTAGGCAGATATTTTTAGATAACTGATACAAAAATATGATGTTTCTGTGGATCAGTTTTAAATGACTTTACTAAGAGCCTAAGTTTGGACAAAAATATCTTTTAAAATTATACTTAAAGTTAAAATAATAGGTTTTTCTAGCTGGGTGTAGTGGTATACACTTTTAATCCCACCGCTTGGGAGGCAGAAGCAGGTGGATCTCTGTGAATTCAAGGCCAGCCTGGTCTATACAGTGAGTTCCAGGACAGTCAAGGCTACATAATGAGATCCTGTCTTGAGGAGTAAAAAGGAAAGAAAAAATAAAGATATTGGGTTTTCTTTGAGGGGAAAAAAAAAAAAAAAAGGTGCCTTCAAAAATTTTATGTCTTGTGTTGCTAATGTGCTTAAAGGCAGTAATAGTAAATAATAGTTAACTTTGTTAGAAACCTAGTGCTAGTAAGGACAGAGGAGTATTTTAAATACTCTTTCCTGGGGTCTTCATTTCACCCATGTGTAAACTGAATCTTAAGAGGAGTTAATACTTAGCATAGAGTATAGCAAATTCTCCCAGATCTCATTGATTTTAACATCCTTGTGATAAAATGTGACCAAACATTAGGAAAGGATTTGGCATGTTGGTGAGAAGCATGAAAACCATAGTGTGGCGTTTGGTGCTATAGGCCAGTGCTTCTGTGTTCTGATGTGCATTTCAGTCTCCAGGGACCTGCTGAAATACCGGCTTTATGTGTAGCATAAGCATCTGCACATCCAGTGTACATATCATGCTGCTAATTCTGCTGCTCCCTAGCTCACCTGAGTAGCAAAGCTTAGGTCAGAGAGGTAAGATTTTGCCTGTAAAATGCCACATCAAGAGGGGGCATGTCATGTAATGTAGGCAGCAGCTTTGAACTTTAATAACTATGTGTGTGTTTTCTAAAATCTTGTTTTACAAGTAGTTGTAGAAGATAGGAATTGTTGTGGGAGACAAGAATAGGCATACATACTAGTGCATAGCCTTGGTAAACGTGATCATAGCTGTTCTCAGCAATAAGCTGATAATCATATCTGCAGAATCACTAAATATATTGAAGTGCCTACAGAATTAAATAGCAGTGTTACAGAAAATATATAGATAGATAAAGTCTTCAACATTAGTTATTAAAAGCAGGATAAATGATAGTTTAGAAAGGAAGACTCCCAAAATCATGCGTTCAAGTTCCAAAGGTGGCTTTGCCATGTAGTATTTGTCCCTCTTCTCTATAATGGGGATGGTACAAAACAGATAGAATGGAGTTTGTGTGTGTGTGTTTGTGACATTGTGTAACTGTATGTGCTCATGGTGGAGCTGCATGTTAAAGGCCGGAGGGCCATCTCAGGTGTCAGTCCTCAGGAGCCATCTACCTCACATTTTGAGACAGAGTCTTTCACTGGCACCTGTGGTTCAACAGTTAGACTAGGCTGCTTGTCAACAAGCCCCAGGAATATTCTTGTCTCCAACTCGACAGTGCTATGATGGCAATCTCATAATACCACACTTGGCTTTTTACATGGGGTGTGGGGGTCAACTCAAGCCACATATTTGCTCATCTGACATCATCCCAGCCTCAGTTTTGGCTACTATTGCTAGTATTGTACTATTTATTGCAATTATTAGGCTGACTTTAAAGCCTTATCTTCTTGGTAATGGGATTCTAGTCCATGCATAAGCAACCATTTACTTCACTTTAAATTGTAAGGCAGTAAACGCCCCAGCTGCCACTTGGCTCTGCTCCTGCACCTCAAGTTGCTCTTAATGTAGCAGCTTTGATTCACTTTAATAGGCATTTGGAAATCCACCATTAAGCATCTATTAAGTAGGTACAGAGTAGTTGGTTAAATGGATGTTACTATTCTCGGTCAAACCCATATACACATAGTCAAAAATAATTTTAAAATCTTTTTTTGGAGTCTGAGGCCAGGTATGGTGACATACACCTTTATTCCCAACACTCAGGAAAGCAGAAGCAAGCAGATATCTCTGAGTTTGAGTCTAACCTGGTCTACATTGCAAGTTCCGGGACAGCCAAGGTTACATAGAAAAACCAAAATAGAAAAATATGGTTTTAGCATGTTTAGGAATTCAGCAGGTAAACACAGCTTAGAAAAGTATTTTCCTTTATTACCATTTACATGTCTTAAACATACATCCTTTGTAAATTAAATACAACTCTTTTCTGTTTGACAGTAGCATTTGTATGATCTGGGTTTTGCATTTTGTTTTTTTCCCCTATTGGGTAACTTTGGTTCAAAGATTTCTAACTTAGAAGAGCAATTAGAGCAATTTCGAGAAGAACTGGAAAATAAGAATGAAGAGGTTCAGGAGCTCCACATGCAGCTAGAAATACAGAGAAAGGAGTCTACCACTCACTTGCAAGAACTGCAGCAAGAAAATAAATTATTTAAGGTAATTAGCTTGTAAAAATAGTTCACACTTTTGATAATTTGTATTTTTCTAAGTATTTGCTAGTAGCAACATTAGTAGGCAAATTAATTTTCATGGGACTTATTTGCTGCTTAAGTTAGATATTTGAATTCATCATAAATGAAAATATTTGGATTGTTTATCAAAATATTTTTGGAATTATTGAAATAGAATATCTTCTTTTATGTCATTATATGCACCTTATGTTTTTGTAAGATTTAATTAAAGGAATGTAATGAAAATGTCGTATAATTGTGACAGTTATTTTTGTCCCTAGGATGAAATTAAAAAACTGGAGTTTTTCCTGAAAGACTATGATCCCCAGTTTTGTCATGATCAGCCCATGTTGCTTGGGGAATTCTCAAAGATAATTCAAGAAAAGGATGACAAAATTGACCGGTTAAATGAACAGCTTATTAAACTTCAGGAGCAAGTTGAAGCAGACAACCAGGTGTGCCCACTTTAAATTTGTTTGTCAGAATTGAGTAAGAGTTTTTGCTTTTTTTTTTTTTTCAGCTTATTTTACTTATTTGTTTTGGGGGTCAGAGCACAACTTGTGGGAGTCATTTCTCCTTATATTCTGAGAGCCACTGATGATGGAGGTTTCTGTTCTGCCTGGTCCTGCTTGTAGCTGTTTAGTACCAAATAAGTACACAGAGGCTTATATTAATTATAAACTGTTGGGCCAATGGCTCAGGCTACTTATTGGCTAACTCTCTCTTAACTAATAAACCATTTCTATTAATTTAAGTATCTCCATGTAGTCTTGGCTTACAGGAGAATACCCAGTGTCCTATCTTCCTGTTAGCTGCATGGCAACTGCTTCCCTGCCTCTTTCCTCCTCCCAGAATTGTAGTCTTGTACCCTCACCTATACTTCCTGCATGGCTACTGGCCAATCAGCATTTATTCATCAACCAATAAGAAAACATGTGTTTACATCATACATAAGGACATCCCCCATCAACCTACAGCTGTACCACTCAGCTTGTCAAGCCTGACAGTGAAAACCCTGGCCCACTAGGCTATCTTAGAGGCTCTACCTAAAATTTAAAACACAAAATAAATTTTCCCTTTCCTGTTGAAGTTTCCTGGGCGCTTGCACCTGAGTGCACAAATGTGTATACCCATGCCTGCATACAAAGTGGCCAGAGCAGGGTGTTGGTAGGTTCTGTTGCTCCTGCCTTACTTGCCTTGAGGCAGGATTTCTCACTGCTCAGCTTTCTGGTCAGTTAGTCTGGTTGACCAATGAGCTCTTAGATTCTGCCTGCCTCGATTTCTTGGAGTTGGAGTCACAGGCTCACATGGCCCTGTCCAGTTTTTCATATGTATGCTGGGACTTTGAACTCCGATTCTCGTTTTTTACAGAATAAGCATGCATAGCCACTGAGTCATCTCCCCTGCCCTTTCCAATGAATTTTAAAAACAAATACCATGGCCAGTGCAATGACTCAGCTGGGGAAGGTGCTTACTAAATATACTAAAATTTCCTCCGTTCAAGTTTTTACCTTTGGCAGCCATTCGCTGTCTCCACTGTTTTAGTATTTCACTCTTTTCAAGAGAATATACTGATACTATTTTTCTATTGGGAAATCAACAACTCAAGTTTGAGCCACTTCATACTTCATAAAACTTCCAGAGTGTAGTTCTAAATAAGAGGAGGCGTCTTGTTGGTTTATATTAAAACGAGCATTCCTATATCAGAGATAGGCTGTTGGTTTGGGACATACTCATCTCCATAAGGCCCTGCCATAAAATAGAATTTCCAAAATGAAATACATATTTATTGTGTATGTGTCTCTTTTTCATTAAATAATAGGCCATTAAAGAAAAAGATGAATGTATAAAGGGACCCGATACCCAAATCCAGTGTTTGATGTATGAGCAAGAATATGTGAAGAAAAATAGAGAGAAAGAAATAGAGCATCTGAAAGGAGTTATTGAAAATTGGCAGCAGGAGTTGGCAGGCATTGAGGAGAAGACAACAGAAATCACATCCCATCCCCCAGACACAGAAAGCCTCCAGTATACACTGGATAATGTGAGAGCTGAAGAAAAGGCTTCAGAACAAAAAGTAGAAGCCGGCAATGAGGAAATGGCCTACACAAAAAATACTGCTAAAGAAGCCAATTTTAAAATGGATCAGATAATGCAAGAACCATGCACACTGAACAAAGAAAACACGAACCAGGAGCAAGTGCACACTGTATCTATGGAAAGTGTTGGCATGGCTGTCGATGAGTGCCAGGCTGACGCACTGCAGCCAGAAGATGTCACTGCTCAGGACTCTTCTAAGCTTCTAAAAACCCTGATTTCTGTCGGATGCCTTAAACAAAACTCCAAAGGTTACAGAAGTCTAGAAACACAGTTACTAGGACTGGAGAGTTCTGTAAAAAGGAAGGATTTAGAACTAATGCAGTGTCATAAACAAATAAAAATCATGCACGAGCAAGGCCAGTCCAAAACAGAAATGCTTCAAAAGAAGATCAAAAATCTTCAGAATTTACTTGAAGAGAAGGTAGCCGCAGCCATCGTTAGTCAAGCACAACTGGAGGCCTTCCAGCAGTTTGTGAAGAACTTACAAGAGAAGAGACCATCAGAACCTGAAAGGACAGATAGGCACAATGTAAATCCTCTGACAGGAGACAACATAGACTCAGACGTCTACACATTAACTGTGCGAATAGCAGAGTTAGAGAACCAAGTAGCTGAAATGCAGTCTAGTTTTATATCAGAAAAACAACATGTGGAAATTACAGAGAAAAAGTGTTGTGATACAGAAAACGTGCTAGAGCTACAGATGCCTCCTGAAGAGGATACCAAGAAAAGACAGGAAGTTGAAGAAAAAGAAGGAAGCCTTCAAGATTTGGATATCTCCGAGGTTAGTTTTCAGTGCGATTTTTTTTTTCACTTAAATGTTCTAGTTAACTCTTTACCTTTGTTCATTAAGTTGATCGATAATTTACTAATAAATCTGGTGTTTAGTTCATATCAAACAACTTATATGTAATGAGACTTCAGGAAAATACACTGTTCCTAAAGGAGAGGCTTCAGTTCATTTGGATTGGGACTTGTGGTTCATGAGTTTTGTGGTACTCGGGCTCAGAAAGCTTTACTTGGAGACAGTGGGGTTACTTCCAGACACAGCCCTCAGTAAGGCACAGTGGTACCTGGAATGGTTATGGTGAAGGCTTTGGGGTGATCCGACTGACTGCCTGAAGCACAGATGCTCACAATTGGTCCCTTGAGACTTAGCTGTGTAATTCTTCCTATGTTAGGCTTTTCATTTGCTGACATATTAGATGCCATTCCCTACACTAGAACAAAAGCTATAGACACAGGTCAAATTATGTTTAACACTGTGTAGTTTTACTATCATTAGAGTAACAAGTGCAAACTATGTTCTGTGGTCTTCAAATATAATTATCAGTTGTGGTAGTAAAGTTATTCACTGAAACAAAAAAATATAAAAATACTACATATAAACTGTATTCTGTCAGACTTGTGTGGGATTTACTGCCTTAGGTTCTTTCTAGTACAGATTCTTTGTCACCATCCCTTTTAAGAAGTGAAAATTTTCACAGCAATGTTCCATTGAGTTAATGTGGGAATGTCATTGGCTCTTGGAAATTGTATACCTGGTGAGATTTCATTGTTCATAGGGGGAAAACAGTGTTGGAGATCTTATTAGGTAAAGATCTGAAACCACAGTTATTTTCTTACTATACAAAAGACAACACAAAGAATTTTAGCTTCTCAGTGTTTTACAAACTAAAGTAACACAAATATGGTATTTATAATATGTAATTTATATTTCAAATGGTAATATTTTCACAAATAGGACTTTTCCTACCAGCACTTGGCACTATTTTATTGTTGGTACTATCTATTAAAATAGTAATAAGACACTGGGCCTTGGTGGCACATGCCTTTAATCCCAGCTTTGATCCCAGCACTCGGAAGGCAGAGGCAGGCGGATCTCTGTGAGTTCGAGACCACCCTGGTCTACAAGAGCTAGTTCCAGGACAGCCTCCAAAGCCACAGAGAAACCCTGTCTCGAAAAAAAACAACAACAACAAAAAATAGTAATAAGACTTTCAATTATAGCATCTAAGAAATATCTTAGTCAAGTCTGGCACTGATTGAGAAACATGATATAAATTTGAATTTTGAATGGCAATAAAGTATGTTAATACACACACACTCACACACTTACACACACACTCACACACACACACACACACACACACACATACACACACACACATCATATATATATTTCTAATGACATGATTTACATTCATTCTCAGGAAATTGATTTTATTATCTTCATAGAAAGTGATGGTTCTGAAAAACATCCTTGCTGATTTTAACAAGCACTGGCATCTTGTCCTCTGATTGGAGGCAGTAATCCTTGGCAAAAGTACATTATAGTGTAGGAGTGCTTTGGACAGCCATGTTTCTCATGGTTTCTGAATGATCATCTCTTTCCAACTCTCACTCAGACAAGTGTTAAGTTGATTCATGCCAGTGGAGACTGTGGATTTTTGGATGAACTTGAAGCTTTTGGAGGCAGATTGGTGTCTCACAAAAAAGGAAACAGTTATAAAGAACAAGCAGAAAACTATGAAGAGCTTTTGGTAAGATGAGCAACACAGCTCCTAATTCATCCAGTTTTACCTATCTTCATTTCCTCTCAGTACATTCCCTAGATGTATGTACCTTAAGCATCAGTGGCAGGGAAAGCCTTTTTGGATTTAAAGAAAAATTCCATTGTTATATTTCTTTACCAGTGCCTCCTTGTTTGGTTTTCCTTGGGAATACTGGTTGAGGGGATGCTTTTTTATACTCTGTGATGGAGGAGAAAGGTGTGTGTTAAACAGAACCAAAGATCCCATGAGAACAAAAACTGATCATACAACTATACTTCTTCCACTGGTCCACTTATTGTGGACAAAAGTGTGTGGAAACTGTGAGGCCTGTGGGTGATTTACCTGTTTCAATGTAAGTGAGCCTTGAAGAATGAACTGTCCTCTGCCTGTATTCATCCTTTGTCCTACATTTGATGCACACAAAACTTCACTGATTTCTTTGCTGTTCTGTTCATTATGCTTTAGATAAAAGAACAACATATAACATCACTCTCAAGAGATTCAAATAAAGTTACTGGTCAGCTCACAAATACCAAAGAGAATTTATTGCACTTGTTAGAAATAGAAAATTGGACTGGAGACAAGCAAACTGGAAAATTCACCACATCAGAGCCAATTCCTGTAGATGGCTGCTCTGGGTTCCAGACAGAGGGAGACAGCATTGGTAGCAGCAGTAATCAGCTCCTCTTTAGACCTCCAGGAGCTCAGATTGACACATGGGCTGAGTGCTCCCCAGAAGTAGTCATGCAAATCATCAGTCAGTTTACTGAAAACATCGAACAAATGAAGGAGGTATATTCTGCAGAAATTTTGGATATGGAATCCAGAATATTTCAGAAGCTGATACTTGTTTTTTTATTATTTCAAATTAGGAACAAGCTTGCTTCACATGTCAATCCCTTCTCCTTCTCCCTCCCCTCCCCCCAGCTCCCCACCAGTCCTCCACCCCATTCCCACTCTGTTCCCCAGGGAGGGTAGGGCCCTCCATGGGAGCTCACCAGAGTTCACCACATAATTCTGGGCTAAGCCTAGGCCCTCCCCCATGTGTCCAGGCCAAGAGAATATCCCTTCACATGGGGATGGACTCTCAAAGTCCCTTATTACACCAGGGGAACATACTGATCCACTACCAGGGGCCCCTAGAGTGCAGAGGCCTCCTCATTGACATCCATGTTCAGGGGTCTGGATCAGTCTCATGTTGGCCTCTCAGACAGCAGTCTGGGGTCCATATGCTCCCCTTGCAGAAGCTGTGACTTTTGTTTTTTTTTTTTGTTTTTTTTTTTTTTTGGTTTTTCGAGACAGGGTTTCTCTGCAGCTTTGGAGCCTATCCTGGAACTTGCTCTGTAGACCAGGCTGGCCTTGAACTCACAGAGATCTGCCTGCCCCTGCCTCCCAAGTTCTGGGATTAAAGGTGTGCGCCACCAATGCCCAGCAGAAGCTGTGACTTTTAAGAGAGGATGTTATGTTGCAATCCAGTTACTGACTAGAGATTGTCATTCTTTAAAGAAAATGACCCAGTGTTTAAAATCTGAACAGATACCTGGTTTTCATAGAATATGTTTTTCAACCTCTTGTCATTTTCCTCTCAATACTGTGAGTGTTTAAGAGAAATTTTTGCATAAGGATCTGAGCAATAATACCCCTTTTCATGGCAAAATTACAATTTGGCATCTTCTTGTTGTGTGGTTGATAATGAAGTTCCTGTGTGGTTCTGGAGCCTGCTGTGATTTAGTAATTCTTGAGTGTTCCTTTCCATGGCAACATCCATGAGGAGGAAAATTACAGTCTTGTTATTTGTGAATTGTGACAGTATGACAGAATAAACTGATGCCTTTGTTTCTTCCTTAACTATATCACAAAATAGATGAATGATTCATTGGGTCTGGTTTTTCCTAAATCCATTTTAAAGTCTTATATTTTCTGTTGTTGTCTCCTTTAATTAGGTGTCCTCCATTCCTGCATTGAAGTATTCTAATGCTCATCAAACCAGAGAAATACGTTCAAGTGGTAAGTTGCCTAATTCTGGAACATTTAAACAAATGGAATAGTATTTGTTTAAAAAGTGTTATTTTGCATGAGCATGCACACGTGTAATTACAGAGGGTTGTTTTCTTAATTTTAGATTCTGAATCTGATTGGGGCCATGGGTTTGACACAGCATCAGAAGGTGGAGAAGAAGGTGAAAGTTCAACTGGAACAGTTCCAAGGGTCGTCAAGGTATTGGCGACAAAACCCCCTTAGTTAGCTTAGCCCATGCCATCCCTGCACTGAACAGGCTAGTCAATTTGAAGTTACAGAGAAAGGTCCTCTTCGAATAAAGAATTGCATAGTTAAAAGTATCCCTGGAGCTCCATAGCTACACAGAGAAACCCTGTCTCGAATAAAGCAAAAAAAAATAAAAAATAAAAAAAGCAAAACAAAACAAAAAACAAAGTATCCCTGGAAACGTTTTTCACTTTATTTATTTAAGTTTCATAAATGTTACAGTAGAATGTTGTAGAATTGATTTTTCTGGAATGTGTCTTGTAGTTAGCCTTCAGTCATATTTTTCCTAACCATGTGATCAAGTCATTTAGGTGCACTCCACTTGCTTGACTTACCTTTAAGAACAACAATGTAATTTAGATTACTATACCTTAACACTTCCCATGTAATCAGTGTTACAAGATAAGCTGCACATGAAGGTTTACTCTTAGACTGTGTTCTCTGTTTCTCCCTTGTAACCCTCTATATGTGTATGCCTCAATATGTGTATGTGTAAGGTATGGTCATGAAGTCTACAATCCCTGGTGGGAGCAAGGATGTTGAACGTAATGAATGGCCCACAAAAATAGCCTGTCAGCTTAGGACAATTCATTTATTTGTGGGTTTGCTTGCTCTTCTGGGTTCATGAAGTCAGATAATCAACTTCTTCTGTTATAAAAGATTTAAGAGAAAGTCCCTTGTTCCTTTCCATACCTCGCTTAATGTGCTGTCCAATAAGTAGAGAGGATGGCTCATTATAAGGGGGATTGGGCTCATTCTTAATTGTATGACACTGAGCTATTCTCTCATATGCAACAGTGTCACAATAACGTCATTTGTATGAAAGTAGTCTCAAGATGCAAGTCATTTCCCACATTATTTCTTTTGGTCAAATCAGTGACTAATCACTAAGTCTAGAATGAATGCAAGCTATAAAAAGACAGTTTTCACCCGCCACTCCACAGCAAGCAGCCATCCAGAAATGTTGGGATCCCATTTCTTGACTACAGTGGTCTTTCTAAATCAATTGAGGTTGATGAATATGTTTGTTTGACTTTGCATGTCTTGTTTTTCAGTCTTTGAAGTCATGATTTTATCTTCAATACTTTATTTTCTAGGGATTATTGAGAGCAGTCCATACTGAGGGCATGCAAATGCTTTCTCTCGCAGACTCTCCTGAGGATGATGGAGAGGACCAGCCTAAACAGAAAGTTTCAGAATCTTGGCTAGAAGAGAGAAAGACTTTCATCTCTACTATCTTATCTCTTAAAGATTTAATTTCCAAAATGCAAGTGCAAAGACAGACTGAGGTATTCAAAGAATATTTTGCTTCTAGATAGTTTTATATATTTTACTGACAATAATAAACCTTACAGAGTAAATTATCTTTTTATATGTGTTTCATGTGAATTATTTTGTTTCTTTCACACCCGAAAATATTCTTTTGAACTTTTGAAAAATTTATTTTGGTTAGCAGACTAGTATTTTGGAATATATCTCAAGCATGCTTATTGAAAAACTGACTTCTCACGTTTTGCACTGTGCAGGTTTCTGGCCAGACTGTGTCACTTGAGAGCCTCCCAGATTGGCGAGGTGAACTTTTGCTTGCCCTTCAGGATGTACTCTTGAAGGAACGGAGTGTATTACTAGCTGCCTTCCGAACAGAGCTGATGTCTTCTGGCACTAAAGACGCTGATGGATTACTGAACTGTTTGCAACAGAGAGTACAAGAACAGGTATCAAAACAAAACTATTTTCAAGAGTATTTTTGAATAGTAAGAAAAAGATGGGTTATTTGTTTTGGAGTGGTAAAGGTTGACATTTAATGGGAACCACTAAGAATGTATAAAGAAAACTATAACTTTATATATTTTACCTTATGCTAGAAAGTAAGAAACACTGAAAATTAATGAGCTAATCACCAAACTTAGGAAGTTAAAAATTGAGGTACAGAACAAACCCAAAGAAAATAGAAGGATAAAGTCACCATGCTCTGGCGCTAGAGAAAATCAGGGGCTAATTTCCTGTAACCTCTAGTCACAGCCTCATTGGCCAGTTAAAGTATGATCTTATTTTCTACGTGTATGTTCATCAGGCTTGCCATCTCTGGACAGAATGCAAACAATTTATACGAGGAAGGGATTAGAGCCAGATTCAGAGAATTTTGTCCATAGTCCTTCTCTCCATACAAGAGCATAATGTCATGGTACCAGCAGCAAGTGACAGATGCTATCACCTCATGGCAGACAAGAGAGAAAGAAAAAGGGGCTAAGGACCAAGTATAACCTACATGTCCAAGGACCTGCTTCCTCCACTGAGGTTCCCTACTCCTAAGGTTTCCAGAACCTTCCAAGATAGGATCTTCTCTGTTAGGGTACCACATGTTCCAAGTGCTCAACACATGAACATGTAAGAAACATTTCACATTGAAGGCAAAACATCAGTCATGTTTAAAGTTACTTTTTCTATTATTGCTTTGCTACTGTTGAACGTACCTAGAACAGTGTAACTTAGGTATAGGTGAGTGTTACCCAAGCACATGTATATATACCACACGTCCCCCAAATTTTTTAAATAATCATTAAATGCCATAAGTCTCTGTCACTCAATTTTAAAGCCACAAAATTAATTTTTTCTTTTTCTTTTTTTTTTTTTTTTAAAAAAGCTATCAAATTCATGCAAGAGGGTTAGGCAGTGGTGTCAGATGCTTTTAATCCCAGCACTCAGAAGGCAGAGTTAAGTGGATCTCCAAGTTCAAGAACAGCTTGGTCTACAGAGAAAGTTCCAGGAAAGCCAGAGCTACACAGAGAAACCCTTTCTCAAAAAAAAAAAAAAAAAAAAACCAAACAACAACAAAAACAACAACAAAAAAATTCCTTCACGCTCATTGGCCTTTGTGACACAGCTGAGTTTTCTCTCTTAACCTGAGTTTTTTTAAAGGCTAGGATGTAGTTAAATGATACTTTATGCCTAGTATGATAAAGTCCTGTTCAATTCCCCAGTGTTTGGGGAAAAAAAAAATCAGGAAAATGAAAGCTTGAAAAGACCTCTGCCAGTAACCAAAACCAGTAATTAAAAATCTTATAGCATTAGTGTGCCCAAGTCTTGGCTTTTAAATACAGTCTCCCTTCAAAGGTATTGTAGTTCCTTAGAGACCTGGAGTTTCTGGAGCTGGAACATGGGAAGCACCATGCAAAACCTAGAATCTCCTGCTTTTCAGTAAAGAAATGTTCATAGAATAAAGAGAATGTGTAAAAAAGCTCACAAAAGCATACCTGGAGACTTTCTCACTGGCCAAATTTAGAACATTAAATATTAAACTATCTGAATGAGATAGCACATACCTGTAATCCCTACACTTAAGAGGCAGAGGCAGGCAGATCTCTGAATTCAAGGCTATTAGCCCAGTATTGTTTGATAAAACTTTTCCTGGGAGACCTACACACATACACACACACCCCAAAAGAAAAAAAAGATAAAAAACTAAATGATAGTGATAGATTATATCACAGTAGAATGCTACCTAGTCATTGTTCTAGAAGAAACAATTTAATTAAGTAGTCCTTTATTAAACATTTTTTTAAGTAATAATCAGTGGTAGATGATAAGGTTAGTGTGGAAACATTGTTTGGTGATATTTACATAATTGTGAAATAAGTCTCCAGAAGCTACCTTCTAATACAAAATGGAGAGACCTCACACACAACTCCCAGTCTAGCAGTGACATCAGCTAACTCCTGGTGGGAAAGACAGACTTTTGTGGTGCTAGCATTAAACGTATGAACAGACAGAAAAGCAATGACAGTGAGTACTGATGGACATGTAGAGAAGCAGCCTCAGGCAACAGTGTGGGAAGAGTGTCATAGTAGAGCAGTTCTGGCAGCCTATGAAATTACACATGCTTTTATCATATAGTCTAGCTGTCCCTCACACCACAAGTCAGACAACGATGGAAACTGAAATGTTGATGAGAACCTGTGTGTACACTGGAGAGGTGACTCAGCAGTGAGGAGCCCTTGTTGCTCTTGAAGAGGACCCTGATTCAATTCCCAGCACCCATATGGCTGTCAAGCCATTCATAATTCCAGTTCCAGGGGATCCAGGGACCTCTTCCAACCTCTGCTGGCAACAACCACACATGTAGTACATGTACATACATGCAAGCAAAACATACCCATAAAAGGGAATGAATAAATCATTTTTTAAAAAAATTAAGCTATACATAAGTATTCATAGCAGTTTTATTTGTAATTATTCCCAAACTAGGAACAACCCATTTGTCCTCCAATGGGAAATGAACCAGCTGTGGTATATCCTTTCAATCAATTATAACCTAGTAGGGGCTGGAGAGATAGTTCAGGGGTTAAGAGTTAAAAGTGCTGGCTGTTCTTCCAGAGGACCTGGTTCATTTCCCAGCGTGACAGCTCACAACTGTGTGTGATACCAGTTCCAAGGATTCAGTACCCTCTCTGGCTCTGATCCTACATGTTTGTGGGCACAGATAAGCTCACACAACCACACACATACACTTAAAATAAAAGATAATTTCTAAAAATAAAGAAGAGAATAGAAAAGCAGCTCACTAGCAAAAAAAAAAAAAAAACCAAGTTGTTGGTATTCTCAATATTCTGTATGCCATTTTAAAATAATACAATTTATAGTGATAAAGAACAGATGAGTTGGGCTGGAGAGATGACTTGGAAGTTAAGAGCACTGGCTGTTCTTCCAGAGGTCCTGAGTTCAATTCCCAGCAACCACATGATGGCTCACAAGATTTGGTACTGCCAGAACAGTGTATACATGATATATAAATACATCTTAAAAAAAAAACAAAACAAACAAACAAAAACCCAGATGAGTTCTTGCCAGGATTTGAGGCTGGGGAGAAGCTGTGACATCAAGAAGAGTCTTTGCTGAATTACTTCTGTACCCTGACTATGGCATATGAAATGAATCTCTGTACAAGTGATGCAATTCCATAGTGCTAGATGCCAAGAAAACAACATGCATATAAAAACTAATGGAGTTTAGTAACACTTTCAGCCTCCTTGTTTTAACAGTGTGCTGTTACCGAAATTTTTCAAGGCCCTTTGCTTCAAAAGCTTTCACACAGAGTTCAAAAAGAGACACCACCATGAGTGTAGGATCTAAGTCTGAGGGCTATAGAAAAAGAATCTTCTCACAACATGTTCATTCTATACATGTGTTCTTTATTGTTATCTCTTTACTGTTCTCTATTCTAATTCTTTTGTCCAAATTGTCATTTCTAAACTCTACTTCCAATTCTAATGCTCAATTTCTTCTTCATTTTTCTACTTTTCCTACATTCTTACCTTTAAATTTTTGCCAGCTTCTCTCTCCAGGTACTATCTCTTTCCTCTAGTCTTCCCAAATTTCTCTATCATCAAAGACTTGAAACAAAGGATAAGAATTACAGAGTTAGCTTTTCATTGGTCAGGAGGACATTCCTAGACTAAAGGATAAAGGAAGATCCATTGCCATGGCAACATAAGGTCCCAAGGCCATATGATCAAATCTGTGACCAGACAGGGAGGGTACAGTGCCCAAAAACAACTTAAGAAACAAATCTATTGTTAGTAAACTGGCAGGTGAAGAATAGGGTATGTTTTAAGGTTAATTTGAGGTTAGCTTGAGATACCACTTTCCTATCTGCAGAGACAGAATCCAGGAGGACACTCTTGTTCTCTATCTCTCTGAGAGCTGTGCTTCAACAACTTTAGACATCCTATGATTCTTTTTTTTAATTGCTTATTTATTTATATTTTATTTACATTGATGTTTTACCTGCATGTATGTCTTTATGAGGGTATCAGATCCCCTGGGACAGGAGTTATAGACAGCTGGGAGCTGTCAGATGGGTGCTGGGAATTGAACCTGGGTCTTCTGAAAGAGAAGCCCGTGCTCTTAACCCCTTAACCATTTCTCCATCTCCATCCTATGATTCTTTCTTGGGGGGCGGGGGAGGGTTCGAGACAGGGTTTCTCTGTGGCTTTGGAGGCTGTTCTGGAACTAACTCTTGTAGACCAGGCTGGTCTCGAACTCACAGAGATCTGCCTGATTCTGCCTAACGAGTGCTGAGATTAAAGGCGTGAGCCACCACCGCCTGGCTGCATCCTGTGATTCTTGTCCTTGGGCATCGGTGAATATCTCAAGAGAGGTCGCTTTTCCTGGACATTAACACTGACTAACTGTCTGCCAAGGAAGATAACTGTAGGAGGGCAGACTTCTAAGTTTATACAAAGACCTGGTTGAGAGACTAAGGGTATTGATCATGATTACTTTCTTGCCAGAATCATGCATGTTGGGGGAGTCATCCAGTATACCAATGCATAGGGGAAAATGTGTCCAGTAAATGATAAATAAACAGCTGGAGCTTTTGGAATGAATCCCATCATAGAAAGGGAGCATTATGGCTTCACAGAGAATTTATAGTAAGGACAGTAACTATTTATAAAGCAAATACTCCCACTGCCCTGTGGGCCCCCCTCCATCAAAATGTGTGATCTCAGTGGGTAAGCTTCGTGGTTGGTCAACTGAGCTCTCACTGCATAATCCTGCTGTCTGTAGTATGCTGTTTTCAGTTATGTCAGATGTTATCATTGGAGAAAGCTAGCTGAGGGCATACAAGAGCATTGGCTTAAATTAGTACAAAATAGGATTGTTTGTTTGGGGGGGAGGGCTTAGTTTGTTTGTTTGTTTGTTTGTTTTTTTGATTAAAGAACACAGGACAAATTAGCCTGTACTCTTCAGATGTTTCAAGGTTGCCAAAGACTTACTAGTACACCTTTTCATTTTCCTGGAAAGGATATTGGGTGAAAATTTATGTTAAGTTCCCTATGTTAGATAGCACAGTATGTTCATCACTCTTGCCGAGAGTATTGTGGCTGTGTAGAATGTTTCTGCACCAGCAAGATATCTCAGCAGGTAAGGGTGTTGGCTGCCATGCCTGACAACCTCAGTCTGATCCCTGAAACCCACATGGTGGAAGGAGAAAACCAATCTCCACGGATTGTCCTCTGACTACCACATGCCCAATATGGAGCAGAGGCATGTACACAGACACACCCAATGAGTAAGTAAATAAATAATAAAAACAAGAACATCCCTGCTTTCTAGGAAATGCACAGAAATATTTAGAAATCAAGGCCCATCTGTCTGCAACATACCCTTTTTTTTTTTGGACAAAAAATTGTCAGAAATATTAATGACAAAAATTTAGCGTGTGGGCTCCATTCTTTCTCATCAGACATCCTGGTTGTTACTTCCATTATCTCTACACCTCTCTTCACTTAATGTTTCATTTTCCTTTGTTACAGGGCATTGAGTATCAAACAGCTATGGAGTGTCTCCAGAAAGCAGACAGAAGGAGTTTGTTAGCTGAAAATCAATCATTACATGCTCAGATCAATGGCAGGGAAGTGACTCTGAACAGAGAACAAAAAACTGACACTTCAAGCCAAGGTGTGTGTGTTCCCACTGATGTGATTCCACAGTTAGCTGGAAGCATTCACTTAGTTCCTCTGTGAAACCATTCCTGCTCTGGCACCTTCTCTCATTGCACAAAGGGAGATAATTGTTATTATTACGATCAGGGTTAATAGATGTCAAATTGGTTTTAAACAGCTATATTTTATTTTACATAAACAGGCAGTATGTTGATATGGTTCAGCTCAATGGGTTTATTTTCTTCATTGTAAACTTATTTTTTGAGAAAATTCTCTTAATTCTCAAAGTATATACCTAAAATAAAAGGGAATACACAATAAAAGTAGCTATTTATTTTTAATTCTTTGCTTACAAAAATTTAATGGATGATATCCATATAGAAAATAACAAAATTCAGATGCACAGTATAACAAATTATAAAACGAGTATTTGGGGACATTACTTACCTGTCAAGTGGAACTTGCTTTTATTGCAAAAGCTTGTTACGTTCTCCTCCTTAGAAACTAAGATAATCATTTTCCTGTTTTTTTTTTTTTTTTGCTTGTTTTGTTTTGTTTTGTTTTTGTTTTTAGTTTTCCTACCACTTTATAAATTCTTCGACTTATATGTTTACAAAGTGTTCCTGGGTTGAAACTTGATCAATCTGTGTATATTTTGTGTCTTGTTTCTTCACCTTCTGCCAGGTTTCTACAGCTATCTCTAAGTTAGCTTCTGTTGCTATGAAGAGTTATCTCTTTAACTGTATGTGCAAATTCTATGTCTGAACCTTTAGTTGTTTCTTGTGTTGGAGTCAGAGCTGCTATGAACACTCCTCTGAGATGTCTAATACTCATGAACATCTTCCCAACATCCTAGGAAGTGAATCACTAGGTCATGGGATGTGTATCTTTAATTTATTAGATGGTACCCAATGTTTTACTTCTTATTTGAAAGGTTGTCATGATCCCAGGCTAGCCTCAAGCTTTGTGCAATCAAGGATGATTCCCGATCCTCTTGTGTCTACTCTCCCAATTCCTGGGGTGATAGGTATGCACTACTGTGCCTTGCCCAAAATATTTGGAAAAACAGTCCTATTGGTGTGGCACTCACTAACAAGGTGTGAATGTTCTGTTGCTTAACATCTTTACCAACAGCTGGTATTGTCAGATATGTTGCCAGTCTGCTGGGCGTGCTGGGCACACGTATTGTGGTTTCTTTTCACATGGTTATGAACTAGCTGTGTTTGCTTAAGGGTTACTTTCCCACTTTTCATTAGGACATGCTTGAATCAAGCTTGTTAGAGAGGAGTGTTCATCATGTCTGGTGAGGGCTCTTGCTACATCTTTACTAATTGTGTTTCATACAGCTTTAAAGACAGCACAGGTTTGAAGTCACCCTGTAGGATCTCATTTGTAATTGAAAAGCTGAATCAGAGCTGAGTGTGGTGACTCAAGCCTGTGGTTCCAGGATTTGGGAGAATGAATGAAGTAGGAGCTTTGCAGAGTTTCTGACCAGTCTGGATGGGACTACAGAGTGAGATCTTATCTAAAAGGAAAAGAAAAATAGCATTAATAATTGGATGATTATAGTAATTATCCCATTTGGTATACCTGTAAATATTGGGTATAGCTGTCTGAAACACTATGAATGGTTAGCATTCCAAATATACAAATGCACAAGTTGCTGCCTACAGAATCTTATAAGCATTTAAAGTTGCTTATTTTAAGTCTTGCATCCTTGAATGCATTGTTACATCTTTATTATTCCCCTGTGTTTTTACTTCTGAAGACTTCCTTCATAGCACTCTAAGAAAAAGAAACTATAGAAATTACCTGATTAACGGACTGGGAGCAGTTGATGGTTTCTTTGTAGTAATCTCCTAAATTATGGATGAGTTCTTAGGTGAAAAATATTTACCAATCCACACTTCTGGGCCATCTTCTAACACCTTTCTCACTTCCTGTAGAACTCCTAGACTGCAAAATGCAACAGTCTTGCAAGCTGGAGGTGCAAGTTCAACATGGAGGCAAGAAAGACAGAATGGTTGAGCTGCAGGAACAGCTCAGTTCAGAAAAAATGGTGGTTTCAGAATTAAAAAATGAACTCTCACGGGTACAACTGGAACTAGAAAGCACACTGAAGGCCCAGCATGAGCACCTAAAGGAACTGGAAGTATTCAGGTGTGCCTCTCTGCTTTACTGTGAGGGTCAGAGGAAGAAGTGTGCACAATTGTGCATAACCGTTATGCACATAGCACACACAGCAGCAGCAAGCATGGAGCTTAAATAGCAGAAGAATGAGTACAGCAAAAAACTGATTTTTTTTTTCTAAATTCAAATTGCAATCATTCTGTCCTCCCCTCTGCTATGATTTCTGTTCCAGTCAACAATTATTAGATTGATTTTGGCTTCGATCTTGCTATTTACTAACTTTAAGTGATGTATAATCTCATGCTTCCGTTGGCTAGTAACTGCCAGGTATTGGAATTGAGAATGCATGGGGAAAGAATATGTTCCTGATGTAAATACTGAGATATTCTGCTTCCCAGAGGCATGCTGCAAGTACTCACATTTTTACTTTGGACATTGATTTCACACGCACAAATGCACATGATTTCTATGTGCAGTAAAAGACAAAAGGTGTTAATTAGTATTATCTATTTAGCAGTGAATTGGGTTATTATTTACAATAGTAAATAAATTGCAATATTAGAAATAGCAGTTCATTTGAAGTGCACCAGCCACAACTCTTGACTTGACACACTGTAGTGACTAGTTTATAATATGCCTCAATTATCATCAAAATAATGTTACATTCATTTTCTTTCCTTAGATTAAAAGCAAATGAAGTTCATTTGCTTAGTGATACATTAGCAAGAGAACAGAAGAAATCCCAAGAACTGCAGTATGCCTTGGCAACAGAGAAAGCCAAGTCAGGCCATGATGAAGAACAGGATAAGGAACTTAAGGTATTGTCTTTACATACCTTGGAGAATTGTAACTTATAAGGCTTTCTCCATCCAGTTTTCAGCTTTCTCCCTTTTAAAAGGTGTAAATTATTCACTATGTGTTGAATACTGTTGCAAAATTATCTAGGCCATAGTAGGAAGATGAGTTAATGCTGTGACACTGTGTGTTTCCTTCCCTGAAGTTATTCCCACCAGGGGTTGCAAGGCCCCTTCCCAAGCAGCTGTGTGCTGTGCAGTGCAGATCTCCTCCCTGCCTTTATTTCTGCAGTGCCAGCTTGTGAGCCTGGGAGGCTTCCAAAAGGCTGTCCTTTTGTTTTTGCTTGCAGGTCATTGGGGTTAGAAACTCCTCCTTCCCTGTTATTTTGATTAATAATGCTATGTTAGGGTACTTCTTAAAATAGACTGAGGTTCAGTATTTCTGGATTTAATCTGTTCTCTGGACTGCTTGCTGCTGGCTTTCCTTGCCTTTACATGCCCCACCACTTACCCCCACACACAGACCTCTTTCCGCAGCCACAAAGACGGTGATGAAGACATGTGCTGGGTTTCTCCAGTCAGTCTTGACCTCTACCTTGCTTTGTTTTGTTTCCACAGTATTCTTAGTTGAACTCGGCACCTCTCCCATGCTAGGCAAGCACAGTAGCACCCAAGGTTTCTTTTTCTTTTTCTTTTTCTTTTTTTTTTTTTTTAATTGGTTCAAGTTAGGGAACAAGCTTGTTTCACATGTAAGTCCCTTCTCCCTCTCCCTCCCTTCACTCCCATCCCTCCTCTCTCACCGGAAACCTATCCCCCCCAAACCCCCCGACCCCATCCACCCACCACTCCCCAGGCAGGGTAGGACCCTCAACAGGGGCTCTGCAAAGTCCTCCAAATCTTCCTGTGCTGGGCCTGGGCCCTTCCCCATGTGTCCAGGGCCAGAGTGTATCCCTTCACATGGGATAGCACCCAAGTTTTCTTCCAGCTCCTTTTCATACACTTTCATCCTGAGACAGGTTCTCATGAACTTGCTCAGGCTCTTCGTTCTCCTTTCTCAATTTCCTGAGTAGCTGAGATTACAGGCATGTGCCACCAGCAGTTCCTTGTTTTAAGATGTATTTAGTTTATTTCAGTACATGAGTGTTTAGCTTGCATGTATATCTGTGTCTCATGTTCATGTATTAAATGGAGGAAGTTAGGTAGGTGAAGGCATTGGATCCCCTGGATCTGGAGTTACAGCTGTTTGTGAGCTTCCATGTCAGTTCTGGGAATAGAACCCAGGTCTTCTGGAAGAACAGCCAGTGCTTTTAACCACTGAACCATGTCACCAGCCAACCCTAGCACACTTTTCTTTTTTTTTTTCTTTTTCTTTTTCTTTTTTTTTTCAAAACAGGGTTTCTCTGTAGCTTTGGAGGCTGTCCTGAACTAGCTCTTGTAGACCAGGCTGGCCTCAAACTCACAGAGTTCCGCCTGCCTCTGCCTCCCGAGTGCTGGGATTAAAGGCGTGCGCCACCAACACCCAGCTCCTACCACACTTTTGACTGATTATACATACGCTTGGAGCAAAGTTTCCTCAATGAACATCAGAAAGCAAAGGTGCAACTGTCTTTGATGCTCTATGGACATGTGGTTATTTTGCACCAGGGTCGTCCTTTTGAAAAATCTAAGATGGTACAGTTCATTTTCTATCACATGCTACTAAGAATCCACATTGCAGAAGAAAGAATTGCTATAATTATGCAAGCCAAATCTTAATTGTTTTTGTACACTTTCTTTTTAATCCCTAATTTTTAAATTAATCTTTAAGTAATAGTTTTCAGTAGGGTATTTCATACATGTGTCATTCTTCGTTCTCATTCATTCCCCACCCTCACTGTCTTCTCGTGCTCCCTGGCCAGCCCCAGCTGTTCCTTTCCTCTCCACAGAGTCCTCTTTGTTGTTTTTTGCTTGCTTGTTTGGTTGGTAAGTTGGTTTTTTTGAGACAGGGTTTCTCTGTGTAGGAGCTCTGGCTGTCCTAGAACTAGGTCTGTAGAAGAGTAGAATAGTCTGTCTGGAGATTAACCTACCTCTGTTTTCTGAGTGCTCGATGGAAGTCTCGAAACACAACCATACATTTTGATGAAGGATATAACCTTTAAAACCCTGAATGATAGAAATGTGCTGTCTTCTTATATGAATATATCTTTGATATGCCCCTGTGCCAGCAATTTTTCTCTGCTTGTCATGACACTGAAGAATAGGCGTTTTTTTGTGCCTTCATATATAAGTACCTAAAAATTTAAAACTACATTCCATTAATATTTTGAAAGGGTAGCATTAGAACATACGTATTTTAAAGATTGTCATTTGGAAAAATGTATCTGAAAGGTTCAGGTTTTAATTCTGTCTCTTTAAGAGACAGACCTCACCCCCTGACAACAATCAGGGCACGCACAGGGGTGTGCCATCACCACATCACCCACCACAAATGGGTGAAGACTCTGGGCATGCGTGAAACCTCATTGTGCATGTGCAGTCTTCCCTTTAAAAGTTCCAACTTCCCTGCTGCTCTCACTATGTTTCTGCTTCGCTCTCTCTTCTCCCGCCTACATGCTCTCTCTGCCTCTCTATGGCAACCGGCCATGGCAGTCAGTCATTACCCCTGTTCCTTCTCTCTCTTAGTCTCTCTAGTCTCCCGGGCCTAAAATAAACTAGTCAAAATGTCTCATCTTGTGAGGATCTCCTCTTTTTCTTCAAAAACATAACAGTATCTTCTTTATATTTAGCTGGAGAGGATGTGTCTATATTCTTGATGCAAGCAAGCCATTTGGCTATCTAAGCAATTTCCTCTGTCTGCTGGATAACAAGTCTGTCAATTACCAATACTTCCATGTTGCTGAACCAAAGTCATTGTCATACACTTTCACAGTATTTTTAATATTAACATGTTCATCTAAATTAAGTATTTCCTTCCAGGCTCTAAGATCCACTCTAGAAGAACAGACACAGATGCAGATACACTTAATTTCACTTCTGGGACAACAGAGGCAATTACTAAATGATTTACAGCAACAAATAGAGTCACAGAGAATGTTGTATAATGTGCAGGTAGCAGAAGAACAAGACCGGAACTTAGAGCTTCAGGTTCTTCTGGAGTCTGAAAAAGTTAACATTCAGGAGATGAAGGCAACCCTAGACAAGGAAAGGGAGCTGCATAGCAATGGCGGGCAGCCCCAGCCAGCCTTCCCTCCTGAGGAGATACTTCAGGAGTTACAGGGACCATTAGAAGAAAAGCAGAAACACATAATGGAACTGGTAAATGAAAGTCGAAAGTATAAACGGGATTCCTTGCGAGCAAAACAGCAGATGGAAAAGGACAGGCAGGTTCAGCAAAAGACATTGCAGGTGGAAAAAGAAACTAACACCCTTGGCCAGCAGAAAATGGAGGAGCTGCAGAGCAAAGTGGAAGAACTTCAGCGCCAGCTGCAGGAAAAAAGGCACCAAGTACATAAACTAGACCTTGAAGGGAGGAGACTGCAAGGGGTAATGCAGGGATTCCAACAGCAGGAGCTAGAGCAGAAGGGAAAAGAGGAAAGTAGACGACTTCTGTATCAGAATGTTAATGAGGTAAATTTTTGTGTCTCTTACAGTGTGTATGAGGGCAGGAGAGACAGCTCAGTAGGTCAGATCTGCAAGACCTGGGTTCAGTCTCAGACCAATGCCCACAGACCTCCAAATGCACCCTGTGGTGGGACGGGACGGCGGTGGGGGGGGGCACCTGCACACACAAAATGACAACAGGTTTTTTTTAAGTTATGAGTAATTGTAGTATTTTAAGATAACATTGGTATTTTATAATATTTTTAAATTTTAAATATGTTATTGAATTACTTAAATAGTTATGTTCATGTTATCTCAAAAATAGTGTCTATAGAACTTTATTTGAATTTGGATGGTAATTTTGTTCCCTCAAGAAAGAAAATGAAATGATGCTCATTTGTGAGTATTTTCTTTTTCTGTCCAAAATTGCCAGGGAGCTGCTTGGAGTTTTACTGACGACCGAACTAGAAATTGGGTTCTTCAACAGAAAATGGAAGGAGAGAGCAAAGACACAAGCTATGCAAAGTTGATGGAAATGAATAGAAAAAAGGATGACTCTGATAATGACATAGAAATTATCAGACAGAAACTTCAGCATGTGGCTATGAAAATTCAGCAACATATAGCCCAGAAAGCCTGTGACAGGTTAGACTTCTGCCTGCTCTACAGAAATGACACTCTTGACAAGTCAGTCAAGAGTAGGAAAATGCTGGATTTTGTTTTTGTTTTCTTTTGTTCAGACAGCATCTTACCAAGTAGCCCTGGTCCACCTACAATTCACTCTGCATACCCCACTGGCCTCAAACGTGAAGGGAAATTTCCCTGCCTCTGTTTTCTGAGAGTACAGGCCTGTAACACCACACCCATACCAAATAAAAAATATTTTAAAGAATATGTATGTCTACATCACATGATGTTCTTTAGCAGAATTTATACATCTGAAAACAGCTAACGCCTTGAACCAGAAAGGGGCAATATTTAAGAGTAGAGTGAGAAGTGAAACAGTGGCTTTAAGCCTCTGGTGTGTGTTAGTGTCAGAAACAGAGCAGCCCTGGCCACTGGTGTGTGTTAGTGACACAAACAGACTGGCCCTTGACCACTGGTGTCTGTTAGTGACACAGTCAGAGCAGCCCTAAGCTTCTAGTGTCTGTTAGTGACACAGAGCAGCCCTGGCCTCTAGTGTGTGTCGGGAAGTGTTACTGTGAGGTCTGCTTAACTTTTTGTCTTTTTCTTAAAGATTAGAGATTGAAGTATCGGATAAGGATGCTTTAATTTGGGTTCAAGAAAGAATTGATCGGATTATTTTTCGAGTACAGAGACTAAGGGACCAACAAGAAGATGAGGTAAGATGTTTTTCAAGTTCTTTGTAGACAGCACAAAAAATGAAATGAAATTATGAATTGTTTAAAAGTTGGTAGACTATTTTATAAGAGTTTTGATTATATTTGTTTGTACGGTGTTTCTCTTTCCCCCAACAATAAGAAATGAAAGTTGGAGAGGAATTACCATTCATTGCTGTTGCTGTATAATTAACCTCTTTTATAGAGACCAGGCTTCTTGAGAAAGTGGCCTGGCTTCCCTGTCCTTCCACCCATGAGCTCAAATTCAGTCCTGTTGGCATCTTCACGGGTGACTGTTCCGCCGCACCTTTTCACTCCCTCTTACATTGTACTTTTGACACTTTTGACTTCTTCAGGAAGTATTTCTCTTTTTTGTTTGGATGGGTTTTGTTTTGTTTTTTCCAAGACAGGTTTCTCTGTGTAATCCTGACTAGCATGTACACCAGGCTGGGCTCGAACTCACAGAGATCTGCACACCTCTTCCTCTGGAATGCTGGGATTAAAGGCGTGCTCCACCAAGGCCAGCTGTGTTTCACCCTGTTAAACCCGTTTTCCTTGTCTTGTGTGTCAGTGCTTTTGCTTCAGCTGCTCTCAGCAGGTCTGTCTGCCTAGCCTGCTTCTGTGCACATCTGCTTTTCTCTACAACTGTGAACCCTCCCACTTCCCACGGCATGAGCTCTAGCTGCCCTTGTTGAGCACCTGCTGTTTTCCAAGTGCTGCTTGGGGTTCTGGGATTCATAGCACAAAGTGACAAGAATCTGGCCCTTGTGCACTTCCTGTCTACTGGACTGTTCTGGTGTAGGCCGTTTACCTGTGGCCCAGGCTTATATTTTCAATTAGCTACTGGACGTCTTTGGGTAAATGTTCCTAGTAGTGACCCCTTAGGAGCCTCACAGACACAATCAAACCTAAACACTGTCTTCTGTCCTACCTCTCTTCCTCGTACCCCTTCTTCTGGTTATGGTATAACCCAGTTTGGAAAGCTGGAAGTCACCATAGACCATGTTCCTTCACTCTTACCTGTACATGTAAGCAGTGATAAGCCATGTAAATGTCCACTCATGTGCCCTTTACTCCCCTTCCCTGGTCACTGCCTCACCATCTCTTATGTAAACTGTTACAACTTCCTATCTGTGCTGCCAGGCACCATGGATGCGCACCTTCCCTAAGCTGTTCTACCTTGCACACTGCTGCCAAAGTACGTGTACTCTTGAAAACACGTACAATTTGTTTGTGGTAACCTCTCCTAAAGTCATCCTTGGCTTGCTGTTGCCTTGTTTAGGTCTGTCCTCATAATTGCAGCAACATTTAGTGTGACCAAGCACCTGCTGGCTCTTTGAGAGCAGCAGTCTTCCATGACTTTTGCACTTTGTATGTGCTGTTCCTGCTTCCTGTGCAGTCTCTGGCTGTTCTCCTGCCTGGCATCCTCTGTGTGCTTCTCCTGCTTCCTCTGCCCTCCCAGCTGTTCTCCTGCCTGGTGGGTTTCTACTATTACCAAGTGCCAGTTCATGGGCTCTGTTTCTGTCAGCACCTGTTTACTGTAACATGAGGTACTCATGATCATGTGTATCTGTATAACTTTGTGTCATTTTGTTTTTCCAGCACAGCTTAGTGTCCTCCAGTTCCTCTTGTGGCTCTTTAATAGAAATGGCTTTGAAACAGAATTCTGAACTAACAGGACATATTAACCAACTAACTGAGGAAAAGAATCACTTACGAAACATTATCATGCAACTGGAAGAACAGATAAAGTTTTATCAGCAGACAAGAGCTGGTAGAAGTTGTGTAAGTTTGTTTTTAGAATTTATTCAAAGTTTTTCTCTTTAGTTCTACTTTTAACCATAGTATAAAAATGCCATGTATTTCTCTAATTAGGATATGTGGAAAGTATTATATATGATGACAATAATAAAAAAGTAACTATGAATAAGGGACGCTTCTTTCCATACATACTCTGCATTATATACAAACAGAATGCTCATCTGCATCCAGCTCTGTCCATTAGGCAACCAAGTCATATTCAATCTAAGATCTAAAAATGTCTGTGTTGCCTGAAAGCAGGCACAGTTAAAGAGATGTCCAAATGTAAATACTGATTATTGTCTCTTCAGTTACTAGTTACTAGGTTTATGACCAAGTGGCAGATGATGTTATTCTGGGCAGGGTATCACTTGCCTTTAATCCCAGCACTCAGGAGGCAAAGACAGACAGATCTCTGTGAATTCAGAGCTAGTCTGGTCTACATTATCAAATCTCTGACTCATGAGTAAGACCCTTTCTTAAAAAAAAAAAGTTAAATTATGTATTTCAGGATAATAACTTACTCTCTGAATTCAAATTTGTTTTTAAAACTGCAAAGAAAAGGGATAGTCTCTATATTTAGCCTTCTATTTAAAGATAGAAGAGGCTGTCAAAACAGCCACATAGCCAAGTAAACAACTTGTTCCTATGGCTACCCTGAGAGTCACTTACACATATCCTTGCTGGCTTCTGTCACTGCACTCGTAGAGAGATTCAACAGACTGTGAGCTTCCTGATGTGTTAGAAGCCAAGGCTGGGAAATTCATTGTGATTTAGTTCAATCATCTTGAAAATGTGTGACAGGCCATGTCTGTGCAGTCCTCTAGGTTTTCACTTGATGGTGGTGCTAACGTCAAGGACATCATTGCTTCAGAAAAAGAAGTCTGGAACAAAGAGAAGTTGACTCTTCAGAAATCCCTGAAAAGGGCCGAAGCAAAAGTGTGCGAACTAAAGGCAGAACTGAGAAATGATGCCTTACATCACCATCAGAGCCCTGACTCTGAGAACGCTGTCTTCAAGGTACACGTATCCCTCTTGCTGACCCTGACCGAACAGACCACAGAAGCACAGTTGCTTCTCAAACTTTATCCCTAGGCAGCTCTTTTCAATCTGCTATGATTACAATGTCTGCCCGATCACAGATCTGTAGAGAGGAGTACCCAGAATTGCAACACATTGAACTCTGTTTTTCTTGCTGTCAGCGGTGTGACCCTATTCCCCAGAGTCCTGTATCCTATTAGACAAACAGCAGTATTCTCTTTCATCTCCTAAGAAAAACGTGTGACTGTCCATGGAAGAGCATCATGCCCTGTGAGTGGCCTCTCCAATGCTGAGAATGAAGGCAATAGTAACGCTGCCTTCATCAGTTAACCTAAAGTCCAAAGTGGAAAGGAAAAAAAGTTGCTGGAGTGGACATACAGGGATGGAAAACATTAACTTATTTAAGAACCTAAATGGAATAGTGACTGTAATTCTAAAAATCAAAGTCAGTATTTAAAAAATGTACACATTAATGGCCAAAATGTTTGCAATACATTTGAGTAAACGGGCTAGCCCCAAATAATTACAAAGCATAACTGGTATTAGAAATTGTACGTGAAAGGCTGCTTCTGTCTCCTGTCAGCTTGGCTGTCACCGTAGTTGAAAGCCTAGGGCCTAACACTTGTTTTCTTTTTCATCTCTAGAAAACATCTCAAATGACTTCTCTAATGTCCTTATCTTCCCTTCTTTAAATATAGAAAATTTATGGAAAATACTTAAGAGCTGAAAGTTTCCGAAAAGCTCTTATATTTCAGAAGAAATACCTGCTGCTGCTCCTGGGAAGATTCCAGGAGTGCGAAGATGCCACTATGGGGCTGCTTGCCCGCATGGAAGGATACCCAGGCTTGAGAGACCATGAGATGGTCCCCGGCCGCACAGAAGGACTCACCAGGTTTCGAACCGCCATTAGAGTGTCTATCGCAATTACTAGGTAAAGTTGTGAAGAAAGCTCATTTCAGTCATAAGCCGTGTAAGAGGACTCGTGTGAAGAAGACACTGTAGACACCTGCTTATTTCTTCCTAGGTTTTCACCCTTGCAGCGGAATCTTTCCCTAGAAAGTGTCTTTTTTAGGTCTTAGTAGCTGATGACTCCAGGCCATATTGTTAAAAACAAACAAACAAAAACCTCAAATAAACCTAGCCCACACGCATAGTTCATAAAAGGGGAAAGATGTTTTTGAAAAATGAATTGATGTATTTATTTTCTTCCTTGTTGAAATCTGTCACTACACAGTGCCGAGCTAAGGAAGGAAGGCCAGGCTAGGAACTTGGCACCTGCCCTGCATGTGGCTGCAGTAGAGTGATGTCCCCAACTGTTCACCACTCCTGGCCTGTTGAAGTCTTGGTCTTGGCTTCTCCCTGGGTCCCTTCCCTTTTGTTTCTCCACAGCCAGAGTCTCTAGAAGTTTTGGTTTGTAAAAAGTTCTGCAGTCAGGTGATGTCATATGCCACTCCAGGGGGCGTGGCTGGTTTTCCTTTTCTTTTCTTCGTTACTCTTTTTTTTAATTTTTATGGTTATTCATGTTGTAATGGTGTATGTATATCACATGTGTGCCTGGAGTCTGTGGAGTCCAGAAGAGACTGTCCGGTCCCCTGGGACTGGGGTTAGAGTCCTTTGTGAGCCACCATATGGGTGCTGGGAATCAGGGACTCCTCTGGAGAACAGCCAGTGCTTCTAAGCACTGAGCCATCTCTCCAGCCCTTACTTGATTTTCTTTGGAAAATAAGGCACAGGTTTTTAACTGGAAGCCATTCAGGGATTACTGTCAAGAAACTTTGTTCCCAGATGAAGCAGAAAGAGGTTGCAAGCTGAGGGAGGCTCAGCCTCTGTCTGCTCCAGCAGCTCTACAGAGGAGCTAGGGTTTATCTTACTGCTGGCTTCGGACCTGCCTGCCTCTTCCAGTCCTCACTGTAGGTTTTTGGCTTCTCATTCCCTTCATCAGCTTGTATAGGATAAGTTGGGTGGTAAGCATAGTGGAATACATTAATGAAGACAGCACTGCCTAATGGCCGCTCCCTTTCTACTGGGTCAGAGTAGAATGCATGGAACGTATAGACACTACATGGTCTTCTGAAGTGACAGGAGTTAGCCTGTTATGCAGAGAAATGCCAGAGGGCTCCATGAAGGCAGACACTACATGGTCTTCTGAGGTGACAGGAGTTAGCCTGTTATGCAGAGAAATGCCATAAGGCTCCATGAAGGAAGGAAGCTACTGTCAAGCTCTCACCTCCCCTCTTTAGGGGTGTGATTTGAGATGGGGTCTCACTAAGTCACTGGAAGTCACTCTGTATTCCAGGCTGGCCCCAAAGTCTCAGAGATCCCCTGCCTCTGCCTCCCAAGTGCTGGGATTAAAGGTGTGTGTCACGAAGCCTGGCATATCCCTCCCCTTTTGCCCTGCAGTAGGTTTGTTGTCTTTTGATGCTCCTTAAACTGGACCCTGAAATTGGCATTAAGAATTTTTTTTTCATTTTTAAGTATTTTTATTTCATTTTACATTCCAACCACAGTTCTCCCTACCATTCTTCTTCCCACACCCCTTACCTCCCCCTTAGCCCACCCCCAGTCCACTCTTCCTCACAGGTAAGGGCTCCTATGATGAGTCAACATAGTCTGGCACAATGGGTTAGGTCAAGTCCAGGCCCCTCTCCCATGCATCAAGACTGAGCATGGCCTCCCACCATAGGGAATGAGTTCCAACAAGCTAGCTCCTGTACCAGGTTTGTGTCATGGGCCTACTGCCAGAGACCCCTCTGATAGTCCAAGCTTCACAACTTTCTCCCACATACAGAGGGTCTAGTTCGGTCCCTTGGAGTCTCCACAGTTGTGGGTCTAGAGTTGATGAGTTTCTGTAAGCTTGGTTCAGCTATCTCTATAGATTTCTCCATCATGATCTTGACCTCCCTTGTTCATATATTCCCTCCTCTCTCTCTTCGACTGGATTTCCAGAGCTCTGCCTCGTTCTTGGTTGGGGTTCTCTGTGTCTGATTCCATCAATTACTAGATGAGAACTTGATACAACTTTAAGGTCAATTTTGTGATATGTATGTCTCCTCTTGTTTAGGTATTCTGTTTTCACAGATCTTTTAAAATGATATACATAATTAAATAAGGTTATATACTTGCCTATGATAGTCAGAACTTATAATTAGGTTAGATAGGTTTTCTAGATTTACAGAGATGTATTTGAGATGGTTAGCTATTATTCTTCAAACCTTTCAAAGACCTACGGAATATGGCATTTAAATGGTTTAGGGTTTTTCTTGGCAGTGAGACACAACTGCTCCTGGCACACCAATTACATCAGAAAGGAGGATGGGCATTGAAGAAACTCATGGAGTTTGCTTTCAACATGGCAAGATTAGCCATTTGGGCAAGAAACTGCTCTTGCTTGGACTGTATGTTGATGTATAAACTGGACATGCAGGACCCACAAGAAAATGACTGCTGAACTTATAAAACAAGACAGTACTGAAGAGTCCCTGTTAAAATGGAGAAGTGTGCTAGACACACTGTGGGCTATAGGCTGAAGATGGATGCCCCAACGTTACAGAGGAACTTTGGGTGACTGTCCAGGTAGCGAGATGTCCTGTCAATTCTAGAGTTTATATATTATCCTTCTGTGGTCTTTGATGAAGTTGAAGACAGATAGTTATGTTTATAGTTTTCTTCATTTATTATAAAAGATAAGTTATCTTTCTCTTCATCTAGATAGAAAAGGGGAGATGATGGGGAAAGAACTTCTGTGTATGATTGATGAATAAGGTTCTGTTTGGCCAATGAGACAGCAGGTTAGACAGGACTAGGAGTCAAAGAGGATTCTAGGAAATGTAGTAGAGAAGTGGTGTTCCAGGCAGGAAGTGACATAGCAAGGGGACTCATATTTAAGCAAGGAGAAACAGGAAGTGTCTTTCTTCCCCTCTGGTCTTCCTCCAGTGGCACAATGTGATCCACCGGCAAGGAGACACGCCAATAAGTTGTCCGATAAGATAAGTCTTATAAAATATATAGATTTTTGATAATTAAGACTGAGCTAACAGATGAGAAATCCTAGTCATTGGCCAAGCAGCATTTGTACCTAATATGTCTCTGTATTATTTTGTCCATCCACGCAGCGAGCAGAACTCGGGCGGCTGGTGGAGACCGCCCACGTGGTGGTAGGGCTCTCGGCTTTGGTGGAAAGATTTATTGTAACAAGAGCTCTGAGATGATAGTTGGGGTATTCATCAATCTGATTATAGGGGTAGGCCAGTTCAGGCATTTCTCTACTATTGCTAGAAGTCTTAGCTGGGGTTCTTCTTGTGGATTCTTGGGAGTTACCCTAGTACCAGGTTTCTCCCTAAGCCCATAGTGGCTCTGTCTATTAAGATAGCTCTTTCATTGCTCTTCTGCTGTATCCCTCCCTGCCTAGGCCATCTCATTCCCTCCAATATTTATAACAGCATTATTCGTAATAGGCAGAACCTAGAAACAACCTAGATGCCCCTCAACCGATCAATGGATAAAGAAAATGTGTTACATTTACACAGTGGAGTACTACTCAGTGATAAAATATTGATGACCTCATGAAATTTTCAGGCTAATGGATGGAACTAAAAAATCCATCCTGAATGAGGTAACACAGACTCAGGAAGACAAACACCATATAACTCACTCATAAGTGGATATTAGATGTAAAGCAAAGGATAACCAGACTAAAGGCCAGAGCTGCAGAAAAGCTAGGTAACGAGGAGGACCCTAAGAGGGATACATGGATCCCTGGGAAGGAAAATAGATGATATCTATGAGGCAAACTGGGAGTGAGTGGGGCCATAAGGGGGAGGGGTGGGGAGATGAGAACGGGAGGGAATGAGATGGCATTAACAAATTAAAACTGGTCCTCCAAAAAGTTCCACAGTCCAGGAGAGAATGGGCAGTCAGCAGGGAATTGCGCAGGCTGGTGGACTCCCCATTCCTTGTGGAACCACCACTATTATTAGTGCTCACAGGGTCTAACACTCCCCATTTCCCTGGCCTCTTCTCCCTGCCTGTGGAGATTTGCTCTTTTCCCTCATCTTCCTGACTCTACTTTTTCCCCCTCTTTCTTTTACCCTTCATCCTTGCTTTCCCCACTGTTTCCCTGTCCACTTTTGCTCTTGATCTTCTGTCCCACTTTTGTGGCCATGTTAGAGACATTGGCTGCTTGGGGAGTGAGGCAAGCTCACAGCTCTGCCCTGTGCTTGGCGACTTGGCCATAAGTCAGTGGAGTATGTGCAGGCTAGCTGAGGCAGTTATGTGACTGTGGTGAAACGTGGTCATAATTACATGGCATAATTTTGTGAATGTTTATATTTATATTAATATTTATACAACCGTGCTTTGAGGTTTTATCTTGGGGTCTCTTTTAGAATGAAATATTTGGTTCGGCGGTGGCATCGTGTCAAAAGTTCTGGTCCCATCAATATTAACAGGGATGATTTTGGATTGAGTCCAGGTAAGGTCAAAATGGCATAGTTTCTATGTATGTCTCTGAAATTGCTATATGTGTAGCAGTGGTCAAATGACTAATTCTAATGCTGATGTTGTCCAAAGACCTTGAGCATTGTTTGAGCAATTTTAAGAATTTGAGACTGATTTGTGGAACACTTAGACTGCACCAAGCCCAGTTTTGTCTTCATGGATTCTTCCAGGCCTGTGACAGGCAGTTACTGTTGCTTATACTGAGCCAGGGAGAACACATGCCATTTGCCTCAGGTTTTCCATCAGGGAAATAGTGGAGCCAGGGCTGGAGAGAGTTGCTGTTGGTCATGTGGAAGAATTGTGGTTTGAAGTTTTTACAACTTAGCATTATGTTTCTGTGCTTACATGGCTACGTAATAATGGGAACTTTAAATTCCTTCTCTCTACAACTAGATCTTAGTAGGAAAATGTTAGGGCAGGAACAATTCAAGGAATAAGGAGGCCAAAAACTGGAGTGTACAGAATAGAGGACACACTGTGATGTCAGTGTCATCCATATCCAGGTGTCCTGACTGGGGAGCCTCAGGAAAAGGAAGTATGTCTGGTGCCCTGAGAGGATTTTGCGACAGCCTTACACTGAGATGAACTCTTTACCATAGTCAGTTGTGGTGGCACAAACAAAGTTAGCAAAGCTCAATTTCATGGTTTGTTTGTTTATTTGTGTGTTTTTTCTGGTTCTATTTTGTTTGTTTCCAATAAACTTAGAATAATGAGGATAAGACTTGGCTACATTATTGTAGTGTTTTATCCACATCATCTCCACACACACACACCCAAAAAGCACACACACTCAGAAATCCTTCCCCTTTTGATCTTGTTACAACTGAAGCATTTTACAAAAAAAAAAAAAAAGATTCCATTGAGTTTATTTTCTTTGAAGCATAGCTCTTAAGTCATGTTTGAAGGTAAACGTAAAACCACTGAAAGGCTCTTTGGTTTGTTCTGTTCTCTTTTAGCAAGAATGGAAACTAGCTGTAAGTAGTATATAGTGTCACATACTGTTCCTTTAAACCCTAACTGCTTTTATATCTATCCCCCAAGGCTTGGTACTCTTTCCTTTACGGTGATATATTTTGGGTTTCTTTAGGTGTTGAAAAGACTGATCCACTTTATCACTCTACCAGTGGACTGGAACTGTGTGAAGATCCAAGACACATGACATGCCGCTCAAGATCTGACCTAGATTTCCCTAGGTCTCCCTTATCATTCAATAGGTAAGAATGTATAGAACCTGGCTGGAGTAGATACAGTAATGTTTCAGAGAGGAGTGAACTCTGTTAGGACTTAGGAGTGCTTTGCATTATGACAGCTAGACATATTTATTTATATGTCGTTTCTGTCTTAAAGCTTAGAGTCAGAGCTACTTTTTAATTTCTAAATGGTTTCTAAAGGCACAGGAAATATATGCTATAGTTATAATGCATGCTATAGTTAGACACTGGAAATGCATTGACCACCATCCACTATTAGAAAATTGTATATGCATGAAAAGATGGTTTCTGCAGGCTTGATACTGGGCCTTCTGACAATGGCATCTCTGAATTTTCTCAATAGAAAATTCAGAGTTACTTCTTTCTTGTCCTCTGTTTAGAAGTCTGGGAGTGTAGATCAGGCAATGTAGAGATCCAGAAAGAGGCAGGCTGGCAACTTAGCTGCTTTGTTTCTGGCAAATTGGATTCCTGAACATACTCTAATCCATAGGTACCCAGGGACTCTTGCTGATTTCAATCCTGTGTCCTTGACCTCCCCTCAACTCCAGCATTACAATCCTGGCAGAACTCTGACAGATTATGTCACCCAGATGGACGCACTGCAAAGACGACTTGGGTCTACTTCACAGTCAGGTGCTGAATTTTCTGTGGTGGCTTTGTGAGACTCTAACTCCTCAACATGTTCCTTTGGGTTAATCAAATCTTGTAGCTCCATGCATAAGTTCCCAGGTTGTCCCAGCTTAAACTCTGACCAACAGAGAACTGACTCTTTATTACTCCCGTGCTCCACCAGCAACCCCTGACAGAAAGATTTGGTGCTGTCTTCGTTTGGGTTAGACAAGATGTATGATGCAGCCGGGCGTTGGTGGTGCACGTCCTTAATCCCAGCACTCGGGAGGCAGAGGCAGGCAGATTTCTGTGAGTTTTCGACCAGCCTGGTCTCCAGAGGGAGTGCCAGGATAGCCTCCAAAGCTACACAGAGAAAACCTGTCTCGAAAAACCAAAAAAAAAAAAAAAAAAAAATGCATGATGCACACTGCAAGGTACTCTGAGGCTTAGGCCCACAGCAGAACCTGTAAGGTGCAGAAGGCAGAGCAAGCCCTGCCTTAAGCAAGTAATAAAGCCACTGTCCCATTCTGATCATCCTTCTACATGTCATTTAAACAAACCATCCCTGGTAAGACACTATAGCATCATCTTTTCGCTCCTCAAATGTTCAGTGTCATACATTCCATAAAGATGGACTTTAAAGGGCCAGAGAAATGGCTTAGCAGGTAAAGACCCCAGCCTCCACACCTGAGCACCTGAGTTCAATCACTAGGACCCACAAGGTAGGAAGGAGAGAAACAACTCCCACAAGCTGCCCTCTGCCCCTCATTGTGAGATATTATCTACACATACAGATAAAATGTCATTTTTAAGAGATTTTTACAGATAGACTTTGTAAGAATCATCTTTTATTCTTCTTCAGAACTATACAAAAAGTATCATACTTCATATAGAGGCAGAATCCATTCATCATGGGAAAACTTCCTGTCTTCCTTCACTCACTGCTGTCCCAAAGACTGAGTCATTTTAGCTTAAGTTATTGTGCTAGCAGTCCACTTGGATGTTTTGTTTTTAATTATGTCTGTGTATCACATGCATGCCAGGTACGTGCAGAGGCCAGAAGAGGACGTGATCCTTTAGGACTGGAGTTTATGATGATTTTGAGCTGCCATATAGGTGCTGGGAACCAAATCCAGGTCCTCAGAAGAGCAGCCAGTGCTTTTCTAAGCCATGTCTCCAGCCCCTGATCATTTTCAAGATCTCTCTTTCTGTGAATACCACATACTGAGGACTGCAATTATCTAAAGTTAGTTTAGCCCTCTATTCAAGAAGTCATTTGTTTAGCCCAAGCAACCTTCAGCACAGTCATAAAACATATTAACATTGTCTCAACTCCCTTGCTGCAGGACCAGTCATGGTGACTTCTAAATGTAGTCAGCCTCTTAGAACTAAGTTCAAGTTATGGGGTCTGAAGAAATGGCTCTTTGCGAAAGGACACACACTGTTGTTCTAGAGGACCTGTGGCTGCTCCCTAGCACCCAGAGTCAAATAGCTCACAACTCTCTTGTCACTCTAACTTCAGGGGATCCAGTGCTTTAGGGCATCCTTGAACTGTACTCACTAGTACACATGTGCACAGAGGCACACACACAAGCACACAAATCTTTAAGAAGAAAAATTGAAGCTCAGGTCTGAAGACACTGGGTTTGTTTTCGTTGTTTTACATTTATGTGTGTGTGCACATCTGTGTAACAGCATGCCTGTGACATTGAAAAAACTTGCAGAAATCAGTTCTGTCTTTCCACTATGTGGATTCCAGGGATCAAACTCTGATTGTCAGGCTTGGCACCACCTTGGTCATTGAAGCATCTCACTGTCCCCAACATTTTGAGATGGTTTTAAACAGATTATCTGCATTTGTGAACTGACTGTCCTGACAAAGGAACAATCTAACTGTCTTGTTTTTTTACTTACAGGTTCACCTGCTTTGCAGTTTCATACTGGCATGAGGAGATAATCCTCAATTTCATTCTGGCATGAGGAGATAATCTTCTGAAAAAAAGTATTAATTGAATTTCAAATAGATTCCCTTTTGTAAGTCAATGGCTCTTTTGTGCTTTTTTATTGTGAATATTCAATGGGACCAATACAAACACAGCTTATGATTGTATACAAATCCTTGCCAGCACATAAAGACAAACTGGAGTTTGTGTATATGAGCATTGTGTGTCCATGCACAATAATCATTAAGTTACATGTATATTTGTGGAATGCTAATTTAAATGATTAAATTATAAGTATGAGATGGGTGAAAAGATTAAACTTTTTCAAATGATGCTGCTAGATGTGTAGCGTGCAGTGTCCTGCGCTTTTCCTACAAGGCTAAATGTTTCTGCCTAATATATTTGCTGCTGGTGATGAAGACAGAACACATCACTTGTAGACACCTATTTTTGTATAATGGTAGAAGTTTGAACTTTACTGGGGTATTTTGTCAAGTACTGAAATAAAAATGACTTCACCATTTAACCATACTGTATTTGAACCTTCTTCATTTTCATCTAAGCCACAGCTCATCTCATGGTACACAGCAAGATCCAGTAGTGGGTTTCTTTCTGCCTCCATTACAGAACATTTCAGTGTGTCTTTGTATGAACTATCATAAGTGTTTTCAACTCTTAAGTTGGCATTCTCGTGATTAGTCCTTATTTCCTTACATTTAGTGGTCTTGTGTCCACAGAAGCCTCCTCACAAATCTAGACACGGAAAGCAGCTCAAAAAAATATTAAATTATACCAATAAGATCCCTACTAAAACAGCATTGACTAAAATGGCAGTGCTATTGTTTATATCCAGAAGATATTGTTTCACTCTCAATGGTCTTTGATTTATAGGGAACACAATCATAAAGCTGTACATTGCTGGGAATTTCTAATTAATATTATTTCCTGTATTAGCAACTCAGCTTTCTAGAAGATAGCAAAGTTATTCTAGAACAACTACTTTGAGGGGAAAGTTGTGCATTAAAACCTTCTAAAGCTAATACAGTTGCCAAGTCAAGGCAATTCTATAGGGAAAAGGCAGGGGACAAGTGCTTGCAGGCTGAATCCACCACACCACTGGATGGACCCTCAACCCTCCCATGGCCTTAGGCCTCTGCTCTGTTATTGTCAGTTGGTCTGTGATCAAAACCTACATCTGTTGAATTCTAGTACTTGGGCTCTTTATTTAATTCTCAGCACTGAGAATATGCCAAAGTCTAAAACTAGTCAGTAAACAGGCCAGATTTACTCAAGGGTCACAACTCTGCCACAAATCAAAGTCTAGAACCCTTCTCAGACTAATAAAGACAAAATATCTAGATTTGCAAAGAAAATCAACTGTAGAGAAACAGTCAACAAGCTTTAATAAAGGCTGTGATCTAATGCCATGCAGATGCATCTGTGATCTAGAAGTGGTCTCCTAACTACCATAGCAAAAGAGAGAAAAGCACACTTTGAGAGTTTAGCACCTGTTGTGAAAATACCTGATTTCTCATGGGGAGCTGATAATGCTATTGACTTACCTAAATTCATAGTTGAAGGCAATACCAATGGGAACCTAATTCATACAAATAGTATGTAAGTTTCCAAATTCTCAGATCATTCGAACTCCACATGCTGAAGCACACACTTCCCATCCACGAATAGACTAGCGAAGTTTATCTCATAGAGAATTTTAATTTGAAACCTTTAACAGCAGAGATTTGGGCCTTGATACAAAGGCTTCAAGCCTCTTAAAACTGTAACATACTTTGGGGGTAAAAAACTGTTATTTGGGGGAGGGTGTTGTTGGTTTTTTGTTTTGTTTTCTGTTTGTTTGTTTGTTTGTTTGGAGACAGTGTTGCTATGTAGCCTAGGTTGGCCTCAAATTCAAAATCCTCCTGCCTCAGCCTTGAGTGCTAGAATTACAGCATTACACACGTCAACAGAGTCATCTTGACTCCTCAAGTGCAGGCAATGAGCATGTCACACAGTTGGGCCCATGGGTACCATCTGTTAGGTTCAGGATCCTGAACACAGCCCCCAAAGAACACAGCCACTTCTCATCCCAAGCTAAAGCTTAGAAGTCACTGGTCTTATGATCTTACGCTTTTAAAACCGTAGTAATTGAAACTTCCTAACTGTATTCTGGAAAGGACACATTTGTAGTAAATATTTTTTTTGCCAAACAAAAAACAAAATTGAACCTGGCTTTTCACCATGCTTGCATAACCCATTAAACATTTATTTGTGGGAGCCACATTTAAGGGAGCCACTTACATTGATCCATATTCAAGAGAAGTCTGGCTTAAATAAAAAGTTAAAGAACTGTTAATAGTCACAAAGAAGTATCCTAACTGAATCAACAAAGAAGTGAAAACTGCTGATAACTTTGAAGTATTTGTAAACAAATAACAAGGAAAGACAGAGCAGTGGGTGGGGAGAGATGCAGCTACAAGCCAGCGAATGCAAGAAACTTCTACAAGGAAGAAGCAAGAAAGCTTCAAAACCTCCAGAAAGAGTATGGCCCCTGCCAACATCTTGATTTCAGACACTGTCTCCAGAACTGCAAGGTGACAATATTGTTTGTCAGTCCCCAGATTATGTTAGCTGTAGAAACTCTAAAATACAGATGAGGAAAGCCAAGACTGTGATAGGACTGACTATCTACAGGACATTACAAGAATTTAACAATGGAAGCTGCTCAGAAATGGAATATGTTGCTACATAAGGTACAGGAGCAGTTCAGTACATGAAAGCAGTGGACACAGACACCAGTTTAGTGATGCCTCCTCTCTCATTACAAAAGCTGAACTGCTGAGCTAATGGCACATTCAATTGCTAATCTATAATCCTTTGCATCTTATGTTAAGTGTATTAGATAATGATCTGAAGTTCAAGGTCTTCATAAGTTTGGAACTAATAAAAGGACATGGGTCAGAAAGCAATGGCGCACTATACAAAGATTTACTCTTAGATTTATGACATATTCCATTTTACAAAGAAAGATTCTGTTCCCAAAAATGTGCAGTCCTTCCCCCAGAAAGAGAAAGATCTCTCTTTCCTCTTCCTCATCTTCCTCCTCTTCCTCTATTCTCCACCCTCCCACGCCCCTCTCTGTCCTTCTCTCTTCTCTCTCTGGTAAATGAATTTCAGGATGGTTTATTGAAAAAGGACAGATATGTTACAGAAGCAAACACTTCAACCAGAAATGCAATCAGTCATCTCATTAGCTCCAAATGGTACATAGGCAAATTTGTCTCTCCTCATGCTGGGTTATCCTGTAAGTAGCAGTCAGGGTTAAAGTCCAAACTCTCTACCCAGGAGTTTTTCAGTCTTTGAATGACAGTAGGAGAAAAATGTGCATGTTATCCTGGAGGAATGGTGTAACCTGCCACAGTCTACAAAGTGAGAAAGACCACATTTCATTAGAGAATGTTTCAACATGGTACCAAACAAGGCACTCATCAGTGTCTATGTGAACTATACTTATGTTTCAAACCTGTCTAGGTGATAAACCACATAAATTATCTTAAAATGATTTACAAGTGGGCCAATAATGAAAATAATTATACACACAAACCCAGCTCAAGGCAGAGTAGAATTTCAAAATCCTTTCCTAATATTACCTACCAAATTTATACCTAGAGTTTTTTACAAAATACCATACAATGTTTAATGCCAACAAAGAAATGAACCTCTAATATTTAAATTTTTCAATTGTTAAATTAAAATGAATAACATAATTACAATTAGACTTACATGTTTACTACCCGTAAGTATGCAACAATTTTCATGCATTTATAATAACAGTTTTTACTTTTATAACTTGAAATATTCTCTCTGACACTGGGCCCTAGGCAGGAAAATCTATCTAAGACTTACCTGAGGGGTCCTGGCCATTCTCATCATAGTCACTGTAAGAGGTCTCAGTCTTAATGTTTCTTTTAAGCATTGATCAAGTTAATTCAGATCCTTCAGCTTAAAAAAAAAAAAGGATCAAGGATCATTTCTGGTTCTCCACACACAAATCTCCACCACACCTCCCCAGCAGGATGAAATTATTTTAATATCCTAGTTAGTGTGAGAATAAAAGAGCAGTGGAAACTGGTTCATGATGCCTGAGATGGCCACTCATGGTTTTAACACCCACTCAGTAGGAAAAGGGGGGGCAAGATATCAGTAAAGGGACCAATTCACTCTTTGAAAAATAGATTGTCAAAAATCAGTGTCTAACGTTTTCAGAGAAATTAGAGAATATTTGATGTTTGAGACAAATTAGACGTATAACAATCTACCACAAGTACCTTATTGAAGGTGGGGATAATGAGTTCACTAGACCCACAAAAAATGATAAACAGGTGTTTTATTGGGGCACAACTTACATAGATAATAATAGAGAACCGCCAAGGGAGGCCTTTCTCTGCCCTTCTAATCTGATCCCGAACCCAAGAGAGAGTGAAAACCAGAGAGAAACCCCACCTCAAGCTTCCATCTTTCCAATTCCATCCACACCTGAAGCCACATCCAAAGGGGTGTGGCTACTGTTACAGGCTCACAGGCAAGACACCACTACAATTCTCCTTTTAATCTACAGAAGGTTTTAAGCGTGATGCAAAAACTATATACAATAACAAATATCAAGTATATTCCAGGAAAAGGAAAGGTAAACACACAAATTAAGAGCTACTACCAACAAGAGCAACATTGAGCAGTAGACATATGCTACATGTCCAGTATCAGGGTAAAGGCATGACAGAGATTACTCCCATAGCAGTCCTAATCTGGAAAGTCTAAGTTTGGGTATCTAAGATAAGAGAGGATATAGCTATGACTATCTAGTCTTCAATCTCATCAAAGACCTGAGGAGGCAAATAACAATACTAGGGAAGGCAGGAAGTGTGAGCATGTGACTTCCTAAAGGTGCAAGTGAAGACAGAAACACTAGGCTACCTGGACAGTCACCCAAGTTCTCCCAGCAACCTTGGTGCGACCAACTTTGGCTAAATCCTAAAGTAACAGATGGACCATCTCAGAAGGAGGGAAATTTAAAAACTGTCTTACCCTGACTTGGCAAGATTCAGCAGTTGTCTTTAAGTTATCTCCTGCTAGCCTAGTTAGGACATTAGTCAGCAGTTGAGGTGGGACAGTTCTTTGCCCAAGGGGCCAGTAGCCAAGGAGAGGACAAACTCCAGATGGAATGTCATCGGTGCCCAACATACTCTCAGGAATAGCACGGTGTTATCCTGTCAGGAGCAATTGTGTCCCATGTCAATGAAGTACTAAACTATTAAAACATTTAAATGTCATATTCTGCAGGATTTGAAGAGTTTGAAGATCAAATATCTATGTCTGACTAACCTCATAGGCATAAGAAGCATGGGTAACTGTAATCTGTTATTCTCAGAAACATAATTGCTCAATGGCTGAAGCTTCCCAAAATAATTTAGTAAGGACAATGACTCAAAAGATGTAACTACACACACACACACACACACACACACACACACACA